CCGGATTGTATGCACACGTCCTACCATTTAAAAGTAATTAAATTCTGAAGATCGCTGTTCGCCGTGGTGAACCAATTGATCACTTAGTAATGCTTCTATAGGAAGCCTGATATATTCTTAAGAACTAAGAAATGTAATCCGTTATAATTTACCAATATTTTTATTTCTCCTGTTAAATATGCCTGCGTCTTTAACTAGAGGCGTTCGTAATTCTTTGCTACTAAATACGAAAACGCATAAGGAAAAGGATTTTTCTATGCCGCACACAACCATCTAAACCATGAGAGATAAGACTAGACACGGCAACTATGACTACGAAAATCTAAAATAGTATTAATTGTACTGTACTGGACCATGTTTTTATGGATCAAAATCCTTACGGCGAATATTCGGTGTCCGATTGTTTTGTATGCCACTAATTAGTTTCTCGATTCGGTGGACAATGACCTTCTTTATGTCCACGTCTGTTGCACATTGAAATTTATGTATTTGAATGGATCAAATCTTACACATTGCCAATCACCACGTAACCAACATGCAGTCGTTGGTTTGTTACGCGTTGCTATCGACTTCTGAAACTTTAACCTAGTGATTGCATTCACACTACTGCAGTTTAAGTAAGAAATTGCCTGTTCAGTTAACTCGATGTCATGTCTGATGTTTGTTTAGCAGCTTATACTCATCTATCAATGTTCTGGGTGTGACGTTTGAGTCTTGATCCAGCCCAGTCAAAATTCTGGTCCTGACTTCAGCATATTGTGATGACCAAAGAGCTTCGATGAATATTAAGCATTTAAATTGGTCTTCTGTCGACGAGCGTAACTCTAACCGTTCACACTCTTTGTTGACGACGTCTGCTAAAGCACCTTATTCATCGGCTTCTCGTTTCACTATATTTAGACACTGATATCAAATACTAAACGATGAGGACGATTCACCGAATATCTCTGACAATTGAATTACCGTCTCCTCAAAACTGAGCTCTCGGGGTAACCTTGGCAATATATGGTCAGCATAACGTACATGTTCATTGTTTTTCAACTTATGGGCCAAAAATCTAGTCTTCCACACGTCGTCTTGTTTACATAATTTTATTATAATTGTGTCTACCCAACGTTTTAAACAGGTGAGAACAGTTTTTCCACTTTCGGGGTGATAGATGAATTTCAGGATGTTGCTAGCAACTGCATCACAAGACGTACTTTAAATAACGTGTGGACTCGAGCGGTGGATGTTGAGCTGTTGAGTCAGAGTATCCAACAACCACATTTGTTCATCAAGTTGTGTGCTTGCTGTTGTTGTAGTATTCCGTCGAGCTGGTTTTCTGACCTGGACATCTTGAATTTGTTTTTCTTTTTTCCTGTCGTCACTGTTATGATTCTCTACTATTACAACCCAACTATTCCTATTGCGTAGTGTTCTTGGATATCAATTCACTCGACAAGTCCCTAGACCAGAACACAGATGAACAGGAAAGAAATTATATTACAAATGACAAGGGCAGATGGAAGTAAGAAGCGCAATAAGAAAAACGATAGTATATTTATAGTTTTTACGTGAGAAGATTCTAGAGTGCTCCCCAAGTATCGACTGTGGCTCATTAAATAAGAATTAGACAATCAATAAACCCCAAACTAATGCCCAGATATTATCTAATTTCAGGATCAAATTGTCATGACTATCTCAAGTTTGGGGTATCTAGGAGCCTCAACTTCACATGGATCTATTCTCGACCATCAGTTGCACGTCGCAACGCAACCTTCATTAAGCGCGCTAACTGTGATATTGACAATACGAGTCTTACTAAAGCCACCTACATTCATATCTTATAAAATATCAACACAGCTGAGTAATTTACTACAGTCAAAACTGTATCTTTCGTAACAATTTGATCTTGCCCGTAAACTGGCATGCCTCATGTAACAAACCGTTAGTTGAGTATAAATTATTATTGTTATTGTTACCATAGGACCTTGACGAAGCATTCTGTGATTCATAAAGGTAACCTTTTGATGGTTAATTTAAAGTCAAGTACCAAAAATTAACGGTAGGAGTAAGCTTTTCAATAACCATTTTATCTTTGTTTTACTTAACTTTGCCCTTACGGTGCTCGTGATATTGGACTACCACACTTCGCTTGATACTTTGTGGACTGAAAACCTCTATTTCGTGGGATTGATTTTGAAGCATGTTTCCTGTTTGATTTAGGGGGAGTTTGCTATTATTTACTGTTCAGTGCTCATACGCGTTTCTATTAACCTCCGTGTAGTACGTTTTATTTACATTTTATGCACAATTTCGATCATTCTTTAAGTCGTAGCGGTATATAAATCCCCAAAATAAATAGCTCTGTAAGTTTTCGATACTGGATGCTGACCACATTAGTTTTGATGGACTTACCTAACTGAAGGCGCTCGGTCATGCATCCGTACCAGATCACGAGTGGGAACGCCGTGCTCAACATCTTCTGCAATCGTTAGCCAGATTAGACCAGTCGATCCTCGATATATTGATAACCTATCAAATATATCTTTGAACCTCATCGCTTCTGTCTCTTGCTTTCACTTAGTGGGTACGCTTCATATTAGGTTTTACTGGTTAAAGCGTTGTCAAACTCCGAATACCTGTGGCACCTTCAACATTGTTTTAAGGAAGATTATGGCTATTACCGTCTTTTGAAGTACTGATCTCAGGAGAGTGTGACTGAAATCTTACCAGTGAAACAGACACCATATTTCACAGTAACCTTATTATTCCTCTATATGAGCCTTAATTTTGTCCCCTATTGTGAGAGTTGATTGAACGCGAACAAGTATCATATAAGCTGCACCGTGTTTTCTGAACTATGACCGTATCAAGCAAATGGTGAGGACTTCTTGGGAAATCAAATGATGATATTCAAACAGTAACTTATTAGTAAATAACAAGAAGCATGCAAAAACAACTGGAATGATTACTAATGTTATTAATTGAAGAATATATGTACAAATTCGGTGTTTTTTTTACCGAGATGGTTTCGATAAAACTAAGTCCCTAAAGCGTAAATTGACATTTAGAAGTGGATGCGAAAATCATTCGTCTTATAAAAGTGTGTTGCATTATTATTAATAAATGGAATAGTGACTCTTTCACGTGCGGTTTAATCTGAAGCTAGTTCACTGTAACAACACGGCAAGATAGTCGGCCATCGATTTAAAATTATTGAATAATGGATTGTCTGAACCAATGCCTTTTGTTAGGCAGTTTCTATTACTTGGAAGCCATTTGAGCCGAGAGCTAATGCGCACCTCATCGAGGGTTCTACTCCAAGTGCGTTTCTCGCCAACCCAATCAACCGATAAAGGGGAAATAAAGGCGAACAAAGGGGAAATCGCGTTGGGAAATAAAGATGAATTATTGGTGAAACGCGCCAAAGTGTCTGCTTTTTAGACTGTTCGTTGGAAATGATGGGGATTTTCCCCTTTATGTCGCTCTGTTTTCAAACGTCACTGAATTGTCTACTTTTTGCCTTCCACTTTTAAAACACCTTTGTCACATCCCCACACATCTCGTGAGTTCGCCTTTAATTCCATAACACCACACGAAATTTACTGAAAAGAAAAAAACGTAATACTGTAAGACATCATGAGTAGTTGGCAGATGCTAGAGCATCAGTCATTACATAATTGCCAAGTTTTATTTTAATTTGAAAAGATCCACAAAAGAAAGAACAGGTTATGAGTCACTTGTTGGGCACATGTACTTAACTGCAAGTGCAGTTAAAATCAAACCGGCTTTCCCAACACTTAGTTAAAGACTTTTATATGCAAGCAAGAAAGTAAGTGCATGTTTAAAGATTGTTTATCGAAAACTAAATTGAACATGATAAATATTCCACTGGTTATTTATTTTTGTAATGTCTGCTTGACTGTTGCGAATCAAAATAATCCTGTAAATTCTGAAATGTAAAGAACAGAAAATGTTATAACGATATCTAAATGACATGTTTTTACACAACTAGCTACTTGAAGCTTCATTTAAGATTATGTTCGTTAACACTGAAGACTGTGCCTATAGAGCAGCAGAGAGTAGTTATCACACTAAACTAGTACATACCTGTTCTTGTTTTCCTCAACTACGCTGCTGTAATTTGTCTCTCATGTCGTGAAAATAGCGTTGCGTCGCGACATCGTACAGTTTTGCAAGGTCTTTTTCGTTGACAGTTGATGACGAACCGATTAGTTAATGCACCTGAATTTTAAAAAATAACATTTCGTACTTCGTAAGCAGCCGTAAAACCTGCACTTCTGAAGTTCTCCTTTCGGTGAAGTGTCAAGTAGCGTGAAATGACCGGCAACTTCAGGTGTTGTGATGTATGACAAAATATATCGATTGCCGTTTTACGATTATCATCCATTAAGCGCGTCAATATGCTCATCTGTAATAAAAATAAATGATCAAATTAACTTTATTGGCTTACAGATCTGTCACTTAACTCTTCCTGCTGAAGACAAACGTCCAACGTTCCCAGTTCCTCTTCAGATGATAAAGGGAACTGCTGACTTGACAGTCGCAATCAAATTTCCGCGGGTGTTTACGCTCACAAGACTTTGAAAGTAGCTGCTTCATATTAGCACTCAAGTCGGAAATACCGCGCGATGTGTTCTGCAGTACAGTATGGAGCTTATCTAATCTCAAAAACTTAACGCAATCGGACACGTAACTTACTCGGACGCAAACGCGCTGCATACACGCCTGCACTCGAACGTTGATGTCGACGTATCTTATAGGACAGTGGTAGTGAACATAGAAGACAGAGACCATGCCACTTACTTGCATCTCGTAAGCTATATGTGATGGCCACCAAACACCTACGAACACTTTAGCTGAACAAACAACAAAGTAAAAATATAAGCATCTGAGGCAAATCCATGTGCCTGCATTACCTCACTTTTGTTAGTGATAAGAATCTTCATTTTCTATTAAACAGTACGTCATTTTGTATACGTATATGGAAACATAAGTACAGGAGGCGCCATATCCAAACATGGTACTTTACGTATATTTGTCTACAAATCTCTCTCAAATACACGACGTAAGGGGGAAAATCGACATTTCCTCTAAATAATCGACGGGAAGGCAAAATGTCGATATTCCCCTTTTAATTACGCTTTCGTCCGCTTTATTGCCCCTTTATTGGTTGCCTGGGAACTGATCAAGCTGCTCACTATATTCAGTTTTTGGGATTTATATTTATAACTGCTTATCACTGCTCCAAAAATGTTAACTTATGTCAGCCTACAATGGAAAACGAAGTTGTTGACTGAGTTTTGTCTTTTATGCTCCTGAAGACTACTTCTGAAAAGCTACATTGTTATAGATGTTGTTTATCGACTTTAGCGTCATAAGACAAAGTGTTTTTTTGGACTTGTAGTCTACGTATATTCGGGTTACTCTTTGGTCTCCTAAGCGTTGTCATAATCTGTGGGCGCCTTTCGGGTGTTACCAAACTGACCTTGAGGAACCACGGTTATCTATTAGGGTCAAAGTACGGTTACAATATAATGTGGTGAATTAGGATGAGTGGATAAGGTTCAGCTCCACCAGTTGTGACTACAATCTCTTCTGTGTTCAGTTCTAAGTTCGGTTCTCGATAGTCATCTATATGTCTACTGGTCACTGGTTTGCCTGTAACACTGAATTCCTTCCACCCACGAGGAAGGGAATGTGTATAACTTAAACTCCGGTAGCCCGATAATGTGTTGCACTGCCATAATATTCGAATATAGCTAAATATACGAATTCTATTTCATGCCCATATCATGGCGATAATGTCCATATCTCAATGACAAACATAGAGAATGTTTAAGAATTCCAAAAACTTTAGATATTGGAGTCCAGCCGATCTAACTTCACTGTCATTAAGACAGGAAAGTACGACCCTTCCGTCAGTGTGCTTTTAATTGTCCGTTCTCATTTGGTTTTGTAATTTAGTATTCGTGTTCTTACTTTTATGTGATTTTTTCTTGTTTCTCCATAAAAATGTTCCTCTGGACCTTTTTTTAATGCCTTGCATCAGGTACTCTCTCTTTATGTTTTTTGAAAAAATAACAGTGATATCAAACTGAGTATTAGGTAACTTCATTGTAAAGCCTTTCAGGATCTTATTTACACATACGATTCAATTGAGTCAGTGGAACTTTCTCATACAGACCGAATAAAGTGATTCATCTCGTTATTCTTGATATGTATCGTTTTATTTTGCGGCTCATAAGTGGCCTAATTTTCATAATTGTCAATATAGCGAATAAACATTCATCTTTATGCTAGTTTTGTCTATAATATTGCAGATGGACTCTGTGTTCAACAAATTAAAAACAAAAGTATCAGGTGCCTTACCTGGCAATCCGTTAACTCGAGAGTATGATATTGAGAAACAAATTGGTCAAACTGGTCCAGGTTCATTATGGAAATTGTATTCAGCTAAAAAACGTTCTACTCATCAAGTAAGTCTCATCACCTTCGTCCCTTATCACAGGAAGCCACTATATGGATAATGGAAAAAAAATTGTTAGAGTCTTATCCAAAGTTGCAACGAGAATCTATGATTGAAATACTTAAATACGGTGTGTCTACGTTGATGAGGATTAAGCATCCAAAAATAGTATCAGTTCTTCAGCCTTTAGAGGAATCACGTGAAAGTCTTGCTTATGCAACGGAACCATTGTTTACTTCACTAAATAGTGTATTGACAAGAGACTCTTCAAACACTAGACAGCCAAACGAGTCTATGGATTTTTCTTTATCAGATACTGAGATTAAATATGGTTTGGTGCAGGTAATTTAAAATATTTTTTACAGTCATTTAGTTTCATATATGTATTCAATACTTCACGCCTTTTTCGTTTTATACACCAATAAAAGTTAAACAAAATTAACAGAGATTTCCATGAATTTCATCAACAACTCGATACCTACTTCAACTGGTCTTGAAATATCGGTTATAACAATGTAATATAACTACCAGTCAAACATCGAAATTATAGTGGATAACAGCCAACCAGCGATCATCTTATTTTGAGAGTACTTCTAGCTGCTACGTTGGTTAGTATGTAGTCTTGTTAAGAATGGTTCAATCCAAAAGTTTTCTCAAATTATAAAGCCCATAATTGTTGGTCAAGGTTTGCGGGAAAGTAGGTCCTTTGGTAGGAGTGTGCGAGATAATTAAGATTCATGGTTAGGGAGTTTTCGCTTATGTGACTCAAAATAGGCCTCATAAGTAAAATTCCATTTATTATTTTATGTTTATGTAAATCATGGAAAACTCATTTATTTCTTTAACCTCTCCTCGTTCAGTCAAACATTTTTATCATGTCACTCAGCTATCTTTAAAAGCTATGTTTTAATCTTGAAACTTGGCGCTACCATATTTAGGTCAGTCATTTACGCAAACATAACGAGTAAGACGGAACACTTGATTCTGTACTCATATACCAAAGATTTCTTGGCGGTCGTCGATATGAAAATTATAGCACGTATTGACATTTTCACTACATATTTCTTTTAAAGTACACAATTTTGTGTTATCTATTTGAAGTAATGTATAAGAAGTTGTGAAGTGCTGACTCAGTGGCTAAGGGGTTCAGTTTTCGGCCACTTAGTTACAGCCTCTAACCCTCTCCATGTAACTCGGTTTGAGCACTGGGTAGTATCACTAGCCCTCACATTCGCAGTATGGCTCAAAGCCAAGTGCACGAAGCTGTACTTGATTGATGATTTATAATGATGATAATTGAAAATTGCTTTTAAGTCTTATTCATTATATACTAATCAACCTTATCTGGAAAGTTAGGCGAATTCAACTTCCTGAAGTCCAAACTAAACTCTTTCGGTACCTCACTGACTTTTAAACTAATCTTTCCACAACTCAGCTCATCCTTTGTAAAGAAAATCCCAGTTTCGTTGGTCGATTAATATTAATCAGCCAGACATTGATCATCACCTTCCACCCGCTTCATACATACATTTCGTTCTTTGATTGCGTCAAAAATACTTCCATAACTTAATGATCTCTAGCCTAGTCAACACTATATGGATGACTAGATGTTACGGTCCTGAAAGAATTCGATTGCGTTTCTTTTTCACTTTCAGCTTGCAGAGGCACTGGATTTTTTACACTCTGATTGTCATCGTTTACACTTAAACTTGACTCCTGAATCAGTAGTAATCAATCGTTTTGGTATTTGGAAACTTGGTGGGTTCGAATTTTCAAAAGTAGCAGACCAGAACGAAAAATCAGGACAATCTCTTGCCAAAATACCTGTTTGGCAATCTAATTTAATGCCTACTTGTCAATTGAATCTTAATGCTAGTAGCCCTGAGGCGATCCTTCAGGTAAGTAATTCTTTTGGATTATGCTCACGAATTTTACATTGTGAATGAGGGGTTTATGAAAGTTTGGTGTAACCCGAAGATAGTTTTTGGCATAAACTCAGTTTCAGCTGAAGCTAACCATTAGAAATCTGAGAGCACTAAATATTTGTTTCGCTGTTTTTCGGAATCGTCAAAGTTTAAAGACAGTGATCTAGATACTTAAGATTTAGGTAATTTAGACATTTAACACAACTGGTGTATGTAACATAAATCAAGTCGTAACAGCTAGAGAATTTAAGCGGGGACACTTTAAAATACACCTGTTAATTGCTCCAATTATGTGTTGAAATTTTTTCTGAGATTTCCCCACTTTCCTTTTCGTTTGTGCCTGGTTCTTTTGTCTTTCTTCCTCCATTAACTGTCTAATACCATTGGTCCATCAATATTTATATTTCTTGGTCTTGTTTCTTGTACAGTTTTGGTTGTATATATCAATGTGAAGTGTTCATAATCCATGAAATCGCCAAGTTTTTGTTGTGGTGCACATATCCTTAAACCGTTCATTTCTGCCATAAATGGTGGTTATTATATCAAAAAATATGTAAACACTTCTGGAAAAATTCATCGGAGAGATGAGTAGTTTATTAACAAACTTATTTCTCAACTTGACGCTTAAAAAAACGTAATTATGAAATTTTAACTAATTTCAGTCATTGTAACCCGTTTGCTTGCTGGTTCTTCGGTTTTCAATAACTAGTTAGTATCAGTATTCATAATATGAAATATTTTCAAACCTATCTTAATTGTAATAGGTAAGCTGTAGAATTTAGAAAAATAACGAAGGGAAACAGGATTTCCGAGATGGTGGTGATGTTTAGTAGTAAAAAACTCGGTTTCCAAGCACTTTATCTCGCGTTTAAACACCAATCCACCTCAGTCACTTCACGTACCCGGACAGTTTAACCAGCTCTCATGCACACACACAAAATGGGACTCAAAGTTGGGTATATGAACCTTCGATTGATTGATCATGTCAAGTCAAAACACAAAATAACATGTAAAAAACTAATAAACCATACCATTAGTTAAATATTCGAAAACCACAACTACAAAATAATGCTTCTAAATGTAATATTGATATGTACACGTTACAGATTTATATGTCGGAGTAGTATTGAGACACTGAATTATGAAACATTACTACAGATTTAGTTGTGACCTGGCAGAAAACAAGCAGTGTAGTCAAGGAAAAGGAGTGAGTTTGCAACCATGATGTATTGTGAACGGTAACCAATTAACTAAACATATTGGCACCAGGAAAGCAATTCAAACAGACTGTATGACGATTGGTGACGAATTAGATGATATATATATATATAACTCAACATATGTTGATGTACCAGTCTTCAAGCCCCGATTTTTGTATATGGAAGACGAGTTGCGTAAAATCTATGCTCAAAATAAAGTAGATGAGATGTGATCAGGTTTCCATAAACAAAGGAACATTCATCTAGTACGCTGTTAAAACTTCCGCTATCATGAAAATTTGAAAAGGAAGTAGCTTTGGATGATTTTGATTAATTCTTATTAGCAATGTCAAAAACAGTATGTTGGTTAGCTTGATCACAGGTTCCGAAAGATTTCTTGTTACTTTTAATTGAAATCATGCTAAAACTTGCGCCTATATCTGTGTTGAAATCAACCCTTTGGTATGGTTGATGTACTGTACTTCACAGAAGCAAGTGATCCACAGAAGCGATGAAATGAAAATGCTTATCCTTCTCGTACAAAAGATTATTTCTTGAAACGTAGATATCAGAATAAATTAAGCTGATGAAAACATACCATCAATTTATCCAAGAAAACGATTGTTAAGTCTGTCTGTCGCTTGATCACTTGGTTATATTCACCTATAGTCATCTCAAAACTATACTTTACTATCAACAGTTAAAATTACCGCTTTTATACTCGATGAAGTGTGTTCTCTAAATCATATATATGCATACAGAAACCAAATGATATTTTATGAACAATATACCATAAAGTGTTATAAACAAAGAGATGATATTGCTCGTTACAAAGGAGGAGGCGAAAACGATAGATGAAAATTTATTATTATCAAAATTATTCCTGAATACACTGATTTTTATGTTTCATTTACATTGATAAACAGTCAGATCTGAGTAATTTAAACTGACCAGTACTTCACATTAAATAATCAGTGACCAAATGTACGAACAGAATTAATAGTATCATAAAGTTAAACTTTTATAACCAACAAATCTAACTAATTAGGTTATATGATCACTTCTTTCTAATATTTCCCCTCTTTTTAATTGAGTTTTATGTAGAAAGCTCTTCCATTACGAACGAACTTGATTTGTCATTGCTCTTCTGCACAGCATAAGCTAGTTGTTTTGAACTGGGGATGAAATGTTTGTCTCAAATCAATAGTTTTAGTGAACTGACATTATATATGGTGTTCATCTTGTTGTGCTAATGAGGTGTGGCAACTTGGATCGATGTATATATGTCCCTGGTCCTACATTGTAGCTGACTGACATATATATATGTCCATATATTTTATGCTTTACTTTTCTTTGCATTCATTAAACGAGTACATCGATTTCTTATTGATAAGAATCGGCAAATATTGATAATCTGTTGTCAGTTGTTAGTTTAGACTTCTCTACGGTTGTTCTGTTACATATCTAATATCTTATCAAATGCTCTACTTATTTTTTTGAATTGTTAATTTTTGGAGAGTAGTTTGTAAATGTAGATGACTTGATTGTTTGGCAACTGATAACTTTAAGGGTTTAGACATGTCATACGAAATGACTGTGTGTCGTCTAAGTTTTCGAATACAGATGTACCTATCTAAGACGTCATAGATTTATGCTTAATAGGTCGGATTCGAAACCCTATTGATATAGGTCCTAGAGCGGCGGCTTTCTGATTAAAACACTTGGCTTTCAACTGGTGCACCACAAGCTCGAACCCTACCCCGTTTATTTTAGTTTTGACAACCGGGTAGTATTGTTAGCCCCCACACAATTAGTGTGGCTCAAATCCAAGTTTATAATTGTGTACTTACTATATGAGTGAAACCAGTGATTGGTGCTATCATTTCATGATAATCATGTTGCGACTATCGAAATGGAGTACTTCATTTTGTTTACTTTGGTGGGGGGTGTTTATCATCTAAAAACTTCTATTGAACAGGTAACTAGACTTAGTCTTTCTGTTCAAAATTTTAGTATTGTAATATATCTAAAAGTTACTACTGTCTAACAAAAAATAACGATGCTTGTGTAAGCGATATTCCCTTTTCAGGTTGCTACCCGTCTTTCAAGTATTTTTCTGGTGCTACCCGTTTCAGTTTTCTACTGTTTTCAATGTAGATTAATGGTTTTTACGCTTCTATATTGGCAGATCACTTCGAGAAATATACTTTTAACTTCGTTGACTCTTAAGCTTGTTTTCTGGGGCAGAGTTCTTGACATTAGTTTAAATGTTAACTTTAGTCCATTCACAATAACTTCCTTCGTGAATTCACATAGTTGATGACATAGAAGATTCTCTTTTAACAAGAACTTGAGCCCTTATAATAATATGCGATGTGATACCTTTTACTAATTCGTTTTTAGAAACAACCCCATCCATACTTAATTTATTCTTGATTGAGATCATGAACCGATTGATGTTAGACCACCATTGAAAACCTGGAAGCACTAGACGGCCGTTTCGTCCTATTGTGGGACTCCTCAGCAGTACGTATCCACGATCCTGCTCGCGGGATTCGAATTCAGGGCCGCGAGCGGGATCATGGATACGTACTGCTGAGGAGTCCCACAATAGGACGAAACGGCCGTCTAGTGCTTCCAGGTTTTCAATGGTGGTCTAACATCAATCGGTTCATGATCTCAATCAAAAACTTAACAATCTCCACAACCCTTAAACTGTTAATTTATTCTGTTGTAATTCACCTATCATTTTTTAAAGAATGCAAATTCTTCACAACACCCAAAGTATTTTTTATATTATTAAAATTATTAGGGTGAAGTGACTGGTGCAAGTGATATGTTTTCGCTCGGTCTTTTAATCTGTGCACTATTCAATCGTGGCAAATCCATTTTGGATGTTGGAGATGATTATCACGCTTACAAACGAACGGTTAAACAAGTAAGTAGTATGATCTTGTAAACGAGGATTTTGTGCATATTTAGTTTTTTTTTGTTTAAGTATTCCACAGCAAACAAAAAAGATCTAGTGAGATACAAATAAATATATGGGATTTTATTGTAGTATTAAATATATATTGGATAAATGTTGTCATTGCTATCTACCTAGTCTTTTTGGCTTGTGATTATCACGTGTGTCGAGCAAAGATACACTATTACTTAGTAATATTTTGGTGATATTACTACTCCATTGAAGAGCCATAATGTTTTTTCAAAGATATATGGTAGTAAATATGGAGAAAATTTCAGATTTAATATTTTCCGTCAACTCCTCTGGGTTTTTGATACATACCTGTGGGTTGGATTTAAAAAGCAACCTAGAAACTTGTTCGTTGACTATTTGAATCGTGAACCAGAATATCTTAAGCCACTATAGAAAAGATGCATAAAATGATAAGAGATATATAAGAATAGGTGGTAGGTGAATTAACTTTGGCGGTGTACGAACTGTCAGTATCCACGTCGAATAATTTTTTGTTCTTAAAAGGTCCGTTTGTGACACTGAATTCGGAAAAAAATAGGTTTCAATCGACGACGTACTCAGTTTTTGTTTGTTGCCTATTCTGATGATCACTGGATTGATATATCAATATTACATTGGATTAAACGTCAGAACTAAACAACTGCAGGCTATTCGATAAGTTTCTCTCCATATAAAGTCAGTCAGTCAGTCAGTAACAACGTAGAACTTCGTACGTACGTACATCAGTTCGAGTTGCCACACCACATTAGCACAGAGATGCAGTTGTCGATTCAAATCCCATAGTGGTAGAGGTAATAAGAGTATAAGCAATAATCGGGAATATTAGGGTTTGGAGATGTTATTTAGAGAGTATAATCCAGTGAAATAAATTTGGAAAGAGGAAAAAAGGGACATGAAGAATTCAGAAGATTAGAATTTGAGAGAACACAGAGAGTGGATGCAGCTGCGCCATTGCAAACGATTTTGAGCCATGTCATTCAGGGGCTCTAACCATCGGTTGCTATCATCTCGCGGTCCCCAACCAGGTAGTCTACACCTACCAACATGAATCAGTTCACTTGTCAGTGACTTCATGGACTTATGCCATCTTTTGGTTTGACCGCCCCTAGCTTTCTTCCAACCTACTCCTATACCACTGAACATAGCACGTCGAGGCAGTCGGTCGTTGGGCATACGTAACACGTGTCCCAGCCATCTCAACTGATGAAGTTTCACTACTTCATCAATTGATTTGCCATCCTTACCTAGTACCCGTGTCCTAACAACTACATTACTTACACGATGGTCCCATGATATACGAGCAATGTTTCGAAGACACCTATGATCAAATACTAGTAGCCTACGGATATCCTCTACTCTTACCAGCCATGTTTCACTGCCATAAAGTAGGACGGAACGAACTGCTGCGCAGTAAACACGTCCTTTGGTTGATAGACGGATATCTCGCCTACGCCATAAATGACGCAAGTTGGCAAAAGCTAGTCGAGCCTTCTGTATCCGTGCTGAGATTTCGTCACACACCAGACCACAAGGGCTGATGAGACTTCCAAGATAAGTGAAGCGGTCGACACACTCAACTACTTCACTCCCTATCACTAGTTCGGGTGTCGATGTAACCCAATCCTGAAGCAACATTTTGCATTTCGAGGGAGAGAATCGCATCCCGAACATGCTTGCATTGTTGCTTATAGTGGTCAGAAGACTCTGCATTTTGTCAGCGTCTTCACCAAATAAAACTATGTCATCTGCATATTCTAAGTCAACAAGTGAACCTCCTGGTAGAAGTTCAACCCCTGTAAATTTAGATGAGGAGAGAGTTATCTCTAAAAGTACGTCAATGACAAAGTTGAACAAGAATGCGGAGAGTGGACAGCCCTGACGAACACCACTTGAGGAGATCAATTCTGATGACAGTTCGCCATAAGCTCTCACTCTACCAGTTGTGTTCGAGTAGAGAGCCTTTATAAGGTTAATGTACTTCTTTGGTACTCCTTTCAGTGACAAACACTGCCATAGAACCTCACGATCAACAGAGTCGAATGCCGCCTTAAGGTCGAGAAATACTACCATTGTGGGGCGTCTGAATGTGTGTCTGTGTTCTAGAACCTGACGTAGTGTGAATATCTGATCTATACAACCACGTCCAGGTCGAAAACCAGCCTGATTTTCTCTAGTCTGCTCTTCACGAGCTTTGATTAGGCGTCGAAGTATTATTGAAGCTAATATTTTAGACACTATATTAGTCAAACTGATTCCTCTGTGATTGTCACAAGAGGACTTTTGTCCTTTCTTATAGACTGGCACAATCAGTGATTGAGACCAGTCAGATGGGATTACGTCCAGTTCCCAAATTCTACCTAAGACCTCGGTTAATCTCATTGCTAATACTGGACCACCATCCTTAAAAATCTCAGGAGTAAACCTGTCAGGGCCTGCTGCTCTCCCTCGCTTCAGATTTCTTATGGCTTTTTCAACTTCGTCAAGAATCGGAGGACCTACATTAACTTGCCATTCAGGTTGACTAGAGATCGTGGGAAACCGAAGTGTGGCTGAAGGCCAGTTGAACTGATCCCTAAAGTGTTCTGCCCATCGATCCAATCTCCTGGATTGAGAATGAATAATATGTCCATCTTTCTCTGAGATTGTTTCGCTAACGGTCGGGTTCCTAATTCCGGTTTCCTTAACGAGTCTGAACAATTGTCTGCTATTACCTATTGCCGCTGCATTTTCCATCTCTCTTGCTTTCGCCACCCACCACTGTTCGCGATCATTGCGTTGGCTTCTGGTCAGCTTGCGCTTAAGCTGACTCCGCTCTTCATTATGTTCAGAGCCAGGTGGAATGAGTTTCCGAGCATCTATCAGTGAGGTGGGTGCTGCTGAGATCCAGTGTTGCTCCCTAACCTTCTGGTTTATCTTACTAGCAGATATCACTGCTGTTTCCACAGCTTTTCGGATATCATTCCATGCTGCATCGGGGTGGGCATCACATACATGGCTGCCTAACTGTTTTCCTAGTTGTTCCTGAAATATACTCTTAGCTTGATTATCATTAAGTAGGCCCCTAAGAGGTTTTCTTGCAGCGTCTTTCCTACGTCCAGTAAGACGCAAGCAAATACGCGCTCGCACTAGAGCATGATCTGAATCTAGGCATGTGCTCCAGAATGAGCGACAGTCTTCTATCGAGCCCCTCCATCGGTGGCTGATAGCGATGTGATCTATTTGGGTCCAACGTTGGGACGAATTAGGGGGTCGCCATGTTAAAAGATGTTTTTCCTTATGTTTAAAGTTAGTATTTGCAAGGAACAGGCGGTTATCTGAGCATAGCTGCAACAGACGGTCGCCATTATCTGTTCTTTGAGCCACGACACCATAAGATCCACCTAGGTGTCTTTCCCTATCGCTTAGTTTACCTACTTGAGCATTAAAGTCACCGGCCACTATTACTACATCAGAGCGCTTAGCTTTTCGGAGAAGGTTGGAAAGCTTTCTGTAAAACTCATCTTTTACATCATCTGAGCTGCAGTCAGTGGGAGAATAGGCAGAGACGACGAAGAGGCAACGACGAGTGTCCCTATCTTTCCGGATTCTTACTGTTCCGTTCAGTCGGACTGCGCACAAACGACTGTCTACTGGGATCCACTCTAAGAGAGCTAGTTCTGCCCTAAAACTCAATGCTATACCTACGCCGGCGAGGCCACGGGAAGCAGAATCAGGGCTCCCAGATACACGAAGCGTAAATCGAGTCGGTCCTTTATTTTGGCATGGTGAGGTCAAATGAATGACGCTACTTGGATCCTGTATGCGCGTTTCGGAGACGCAGCACACATCGATGGCGCGAGATTCTAAAGTTTTAGCTAAGGAAGCCTGCTGTCCTATTTGGCAAAGTGTTCGTACGTTAAAAGCTCCTACGTGTGGTTTAGAGCGTGGTTTCAGGAGACCAGGAATGGCGTTCCACGTACTCGAATCGTTTGCCCTAGCGGTGCGAGGTGATAAAGAGACGTGGGAAGGGTTAGTCATGGAGATAAGAGAGGTATTAGAAGGTGTAGGAAGGATTTGAATGTGACCAACTTGGTAATGGATGCCGTTACGGGTATGAGGGCTTATATCACTTCCCGGCTGCCCACACCGTGGAAGGGTATTTCTTGAGGAACCTGAAAAGGAAATTGGATTAGTGTTGGTCTTGACGACCTGGGAGCGTGACCGCAGAGCCCGAGGGACAACTGCTTGAGGCCGGTCGCGCACGGCCTTTTTGTGGAAGGTTTTTGACGTGTTAGCTCCGTTCTTCAAAGGGCCTTACCGCCGGAGACGGAAATCCGTGAGGTAAGGTGAGGTGTGACATTTTTAGGGTCGACCTTTTCTAACCCCACCCCTCCTTGTGGGAAGGCAGCATCGCTGTCATGCTGGTTGTCTGAAGGAAACACCTTACTGCTGTCACACCTCTGTACAGTCAGCAGTACGACTTCGCCCTCAGACCTTGAGTTGCTGCTTTTAGTCTTACCGTTCACCAATCGACCTGCCTGGCATGGTAGAACCTGCAGGAACATATGTTCCAGCCAATATAGCTCGGTTGGGTCATCACGATAGGCAAGCCCGACCACCGCGTCAAGGTAGCAGCGAGACAAAACTTATTATTATGCGAAAACTATCTAACAACTTATCACTTATACCATGTTAGTTCACCCCGGTTTAATACCTTGCTAAATACATTTGATGATATCTAGACCAACAGAAATGACACCCTGGTGTTAAGAACGCAGATATTGGGAATTTTATATTTACTCAAGGGATTCCAAAATAAGAACGATCTAAATTTTACAAATGCGCTATTATTGGTACGAATACGATTAGGAGAATGAATTAATAGCCTTCAATTATAGCGCTTCCCATTAGGAATTTCAGTGAATGCAAAGGATGCAAAGTTTCAGACAAATAATACACATGTATGGTGCCTTAAGCTATTAGATAGATCAACTCACAGTTTCCTCGTCATTTTTGTGAGATGTAAGCGATAATTTTCTGGCTGTATCTTAATTAAAACGATGATCTGTGATCATTGATTGGACGTTAGACGATAGATCATCTTTCATGAAACGTTAGTGATCTAGATTATAAATTCGTTGATACCAAGTATGAACTATGTATAAATGTTTGTATTGTTTACATATCGAGGTAAAAAAAACCATATACATCATCGAGGTTTGAATTGTACTAACAATATATATGTAGTTACCCAGCCTATTTTATTTACATACATTGTGGGGATTTTGTAAACTTTGAGAAGTAATTTTTCCCATCAAATGCGATACCTCAGTAAGAAAGCAATTAATCCACCCAGGGTCACCTGCCCCAACAAGCACCTGTCTGAATGAGTTCATTAACTTATGTATATTCATAAGATGTATACATATTCGTCTATCATTAAAACTTCGTGCACATACGCGTGCTAAGAGGCGTCCATTGAGATACAATCATACCGTAGAACATAAGCTAACATTAGCTAACAATAAATGTCTTAAAGTTCTAATAAGAAGCAATAATATTTAAAGTCAAGGAAGTTGCCAATCAATTTATAACTCACTGATCGTTCTGGATTAATGGTGAAAATGTGAATCGTTAGATTTTGGCTATGCATAGCCTGAAGTTTTATGAGCTTAACGTCATGTCTGGTTGTGTGTACTGTTAAGAAAGTTCCATACTAGACCTAAACTGCTATTCAGTTTTCCAATATTTGGACTATCTGAATGTGTTAGTTCCGGGCGCGTTGCTAATATGATGGACAGTTGACATGATACAAAATAATACTCTCTAAGTATCATAATATTCTCTGCTTTGCTTTATAAATTTAGGACAATTGATGAGTATATGAAATGATAACAGAAAATCGTACTTACTTCAAAAGTATCGTAAAAACTCAAAGCCCTTGCACTTTTTTACATCTCGTATTTAGAATGCTCATTTGAATCAACCGTTTGTGTTGACTGCCACTCCTTATTTCCATCGGAAGTAATAAATTCGATACAAAGAACGCATCTCACTTCACGCAAATCATGAATCAAATATATGCTCACTTCATGCTTCAAAATAAATTCTATGATTGACCGAACAACTCAATATTCTTGTTTTGAGAGTATTGTAGTCTGTATGTATGACTTTTTAATCGTTTCAATAAAACGTTTTTAGATAGATTGAAATTATTTTCACCGTTGCTGCATCATCTAGTCAAATGATACAAATATTATTTTGTTCTACAATCTCTTTGTTGCCACGCTGCCAATGTTTTCATACATAGAACCGCATTAAATCGCTTTCTTTGCACGGTCGTTAGGTCATGGAAGCACTGACTCTCCTAAATCCATCCCATAGGCCAAATACCTGGTCGCGAGCTCATATTGTTATCACAACTATTTTTCAGGTCCGCAACAAATAAAATACTGGACCATAACACTACAGTTTATGGGTTGCAGTGGGCACATTATTAAGACATTTCTGACACATAACCGAATAACCCATTGATGGTTAACTGAATTTTACTTATGGTCAACCCAAAAGACAAATATAAGTAGTAAGTTAAAAGGGAGCTTACAATTGATATTGTAACAATTATTTTCAACAAATACTCAAAAATGTACACATTAATTCATCAAAAATAAGCTACACAACTTTCACATTTTTTTTCTTATTCTTGTTCATTTTTCTAATAAGCTCCCATCATTATTATCCAGCAAAGGATTGGATTTACCGAATAATCTGAAAGAATATGTCAAAATGATGCTGTCATCAGATCCACAAATTCGACCAGATGCTGTACAATTTTTAAGAGTAAGATTTATGTACAATAACTAATTCATTTTTCATATATATTCCTTATTCATGAAATAATCTTTTCATTCTTTCCAAATAATATGATTCCTTCTTAAAAAAACTACAATCTATTCGAAAATTTTATAATCAATATACAGATAGATTTATTAAATGAATTGTCAATAATATCTCTTCCTATAAGTTGTAGTACTACTTGCTCCCGAATGCCCTGGTACGGCCGAGAGTGGGGAGAGTCAGCTCTCCCTCTCGAAATGCTCTCACATGGTCACGTGCATACAACCATTGCCAGGGAAGTCCTACTCACTGCCTTCTCGCAGCATTAATGTTGTTTATGTAATTGAGAAGACGAAAAGCGAATGTCCGGCAATTCCACCGGTCGGTGGACACGGAGGAACTATTCAAGGGAGTTGGTAAACCCTGATTCCAAACCAATGGTGAACATGGGCTCCAGTATCCTGAAGGACGACATGATGTGTGAACCAATCGTTGGTCACCGGCTACCCTGAGACTGCATCTCCTGACGTTGCTCCACTGCCTTGTGGATCGAACCTTTAGATCGAAGGCTCTGAGTGTGACCCCCTAAGACAACGACCTGCTTCGGTTTGGGCACCCGGGCAGTATCCCAGCCCTCACACAAATCGAATGTTTTATGTGGCGCATATCTATTTGGTGCCTTCTTGAACCTATGTTTATGTGTGAAGTACCACTTAACAGTTGAGTCAAAATTGAACGAGTGACGTATTTTATTTTCAGTAAGGTGATTTATGGAGATTGTAGTATTTTCACAGTTGAATTCATGAGTCGATCTAAGTTAGATCACTATTGAAAACATGGAAGTACTGTTTCTAAATCACTAGAATTTGACATATTTAGTTTACTAACAGATATTTTGAATTTCATTTAAACATGAATTAATCACTGTTCTATTTCAAGACCATAAAGATAGCTAGATGCAGACTACTTGGTTGGGGTCCGCGTGACTATCGTAACTAATGGTTGGAGACTCTGGGTGACATGGCTCAAAATCAATCACAATGGCGTAGGTGTATATACTCTTTGTCTTCCCTTAAACCGTGAGATTAAAAATCGCTTCATATCTTTCTTTCTACAAACTAATTCTTTCTTCCTGTACTATATCCTTATATGCAATCTTTCTTTTATATATTACCACCTCTGAATTAACTACTTCTATGAATCCGATGTCCGTCTTGCTGTGGTGATGAGGTGTGGCAACTTGGACCGATGCATGAATGTGCCTGGTCCTACGTTGTAACTGACTGACCATAAAGATATTAATATTGAATTGTTCTCATTTTTCTTATTTTTATCGTGTTTTATTATTTATTTGAATTGTTGGTCATCTAATGGTGCATAGAAATTTGTGAGAAAATGTATTTCTTCTTTATGTATATAATATACTTTTACATGTAAGTGATTAGCATTAATTCAAACATACTACTGACTAAAGTGGTTTAAAATTAACTTCAAACAGATCATCGATAGGTTTTGATGAACCAACTAATATTATATGAGCACGAGATGATTGTTCATCTTTTTTTTACAACTTGGAATAAAAGCGAAGTGGTGGTTTGAGAATTAAAACGGAGGGTTTTGAACTGTTAGACTTGTAGGTTTAAACTCCTCTTTGTCTAATTCTGTTTGGGTTTATGACAGAAATCACTAAAACACACATAACAAATGTAGCTCAAATTCGATTACATCATTATGTAATTGGTAAATGAGTTACTTCCCCTCTTCATATATCCCCTCCAGTTATCTCATATAAGATAAAATAGTTTCTCATTTAATTTTTAACTTGGTACAACTGCTCACAAATTTCAGTTTCAATTTGGAAAGGACAGGAGGCTTGATGGCCGGTGTTAGTTCTAGTAATGATGGTCTCTCAGTTCATCCGACTTTCTTTTGAAATAGTCGACGAATGGAGCCCCAACCACATGCTGAGGTAATGAATTCCACTCCCTTATGATTCGATGGGAAAGTCGATAGTCAGCTGACAAGTAATTTGTTCTGGGCTAATAATATACTTTTCTGGATTTTTCACACCTGTTTTAGTTTCTAGCGATATGTTCTTATGATGACTGATATTTTTCATATCATAGTAGTACAGTCAGAGTAAAATATTAAAGTATTTTACTGAAATAATGTGTATACAATGTTTAACAACAGCTTTTTCGGCGAGATTAAAATAACTGTCTTAGAAAATGTCAATTCCCAGCTCTGGAAACTTCATTAAAACCGAAAAATATCCAAAATAGATTAACCCAATCAACATTTCTTTTTAAACTCCATAAGTCAACTATTTATGTTATTTTATAATCTAATCAGCCGAATTTACAAATATTTCTCATTTTGAAATTCTGCTTAGAGGTCACTAATACTCTGTGGTTGGACTTAATAATGTAAATAACTTCCGTAACTAAACTTGCCGTGAAATGAAATATCAATCATATCCGACCTCTTGAATGATTTGCTGATGAGGTTTTATAGGATGTTAGTCAGTTAAGGAACTCAATATTAACAATATCCGGTGTTCAGGCTTAACATATCTAGATACCATATATGTTGTGGACTGTGAAGTCTTTGTAATTCGCCTACAGCATGTATCATTTTATTGTTTTTTTTAGAAATTTATTTATCCATTTATCTTCACCGAACCTCTCCAACTCACTGTGTACTCTGTAATGTTCATTCCTGATTTATTGGTTACGTTTTGAAAACAAAAACCTTTAAGCTACCTTCAAGGATACTGTAAACGTATCTATGAGCAATAGACATTTTTTTATTTCAATGAATTTCGGTCTGCAGTAGATCTTAGCAGTGCCTATTTTTTAGATTATGTAGGGACTGGGTGGAAGATACTATCCTATCTTTGTTTTGTTTAAGAAATGCTGGCTAAGAATATCTCACCATAAATTTAGGGTATATCAAAATGTCTTCATTGTTTATTGACAAGTGTTTCTTCGTGACACACCGTCACATTAAAATTCTTAGCTATATGATCTTCCCAATACTTATTTCATACATGATGTTTTTTTGTGGTATTTTTTAGACAACATATTTTGAAGACGCATCAATGTCAGTTTTACGAAGTGTGGATAATATGTATCAATTGGATAATTTATCTAGATCACAGTTTTATAAATCTTTGCCAAATTCTATTCATGCTTTGCCAAAAGTGAGTTATTCTTATGAGTGGGTGATAGTTTTCTACATATCGTTGAGCCCAACTTTAAAATATAGCTACAGTATCATTATAAAGTATATAATACTACTATTTATTATGTGTTTTGAAGATGACTGGATAATGGGCAAACATATTTGTTGTCCTAGCACCAACCAATACACAGCAAGCACGAGGAGGACTGATACTATATGCTTGACGGTTAACGTAACTCTAACTAGCTCTGAACAAATAGGAAGAACACTAGACCTATGATCACAAGTCTCAAAATCGTTATTATGTTTCAGATATTCATCTATATACATGCGTAGCAGACTAATTGAGTAACATAAATAACATGGAACAATAACATTAATAATGGGGAAAACGGAGTGCAGAGTACACAAGTAATCGGTTCTAGTTTATGAGTGGAAAATGCTATGACAACAATTTACGGTCCAAATAAAAGCTTGGAACTAGGGTAATACGAAACTAAACAAACCAAAATACTTGGTAAACATGCAGTCAATATATTCATAAATAAAATTGTACAGTAATAGTGTGGTGCGTGCTACTTATATTGATATAAGTAGTATATAACGTGAGTCAAAAGAACGCAATGTCTGGCAGCAGAAGATGGAGAAGATCAAGAAAAGAAGAGCGAGAAAACAATGGACTTTGTAAGAAATCGCATGAACAATGAAATGCAAGACCATGGATGTGATAGAATGACATTTTGCAAATTAACGATTTACTATACGGTTTTTCTATTTTACCAAGTAATTCTGTAATTTGCCCTAAATACAATTTGGTTGTCCTCAACCGTGTTCTTCTTCACTACATTTGGTGTCGCTGCCTCCACTAAGGATGAAGATTCCATGGCCGAAGGAGTTTGAGGACGGGGGTGTGTTGAGCTTCCTGAAGGAGTTTGAGGCCGTGGCGGAGCTGGCGGGAGTGGAGGAGCCGAAGATGAAGTTGGTGGTGCTGGGGACGCTGCTGAGAGGCAGAGCGAAGGCTGTGTATGACAGCTTGGACGGTGCTGGCGGGGAGACGACGTGGGAGGCAGTCGCGGAGCGGTTGGCGGCGGAGTTTGACAGCCCAGTGGACAGAGAGGACGCGCTGCAGAAGTTCCGGTTGGCGAGGTTGCCGGTCGATGGTGACCCACTGGTGCTGGCTGTGGAGCTTACCAGATTGTTACGCCGTGCTCTGCCGAGTCTGGATGAGGAGTCGGAGGCACAGTTGTTGGCGTCACAGTTTATCGAGAGTGTGCCTGCCACCGTCTCCCAACAACTGAAACTGGTGAACGCAGCGCAACCGATGGATATCAGTGAACTGGCGAAGGTGACTCGTCAGCTGATGACGCGAACAGTAGCTCCAGTCGGGTGCGAAAAGCAGGAGATGAGTAATGTCGAGAAGAAGATTGAGGAGCTGGAGCGTGAGATTGCAGCAATACGAGTGAACAATAAAAGGAACGATAAATGTTACGCTTGTGGAGGGACAGGACATTGGAAGATAAACTGTCCAACAAGACGAAGACGCAGATATGTTAGACGTTACAACGAGTGTTCTTTCTATCCTATGAATCTGGGGATTGTTGCGTTAGTAGACAGAGGGGCAGTATATACGAGAGTGAACATAAATGAGCGAGATTTAGTTTGTCTGATCGATACGGGTGCAGCAGTATCGTTAATAGGCAAAGAGCAATGTAAGAGAATCAAGCCGTGTACATTAGCTGTCCACACGATAGGGGGCCATATGTTAGAGGTGTTTGGCGTATCTAACAGTATCGTAAAAGTGGGGGATGCTGAGATAAATTTTCCGTTCGTCGTAACCACAAGCTTATCGAGACCGATATTAGGAGCAGATTTCCTAAGAGAAGTAAAAGCGATAGTTGACTTAAGAAGCGGTAAGGTGGTCACGAAATATGGTTCATTGACAATACACGAAAGTAGCGAAGTGGCTGAAATAAGAGTTGCAGCGGATGTCTCGTCAAAGAAACCAAACATTCACGAGTTATGCAAAAAGTATGCGAAACTATTCACTGGAGATGGGGAGCCGTATGGATTTTGTGACAGAGTAAAGCACGAAATACCGATAAAGAACAGTCGAGTAAATATATTTGCAACACGTCGTGTCCCGGTGCATTTAGAGGCCGAGGTAAATCGTCAGGTCCAGGAAATGTTAAAAGAAGGTATAATTGAGGAAGCGGACAGCCCATATAGCTCGCCGGTACTCTTGGTAAAGAAACCAAATGGAAAGTATAGATTTTGTGTCGACTTCAGAGAATTGAATAATATAACAGACCTGAAGCCTTGTGCAATGCCAACAGTGGTGGAAACATTAGATCGGCTACAGAATGCCACGGTGTTTACAGTGCTGGATTTACGGTCAGGTTATTGGCAACTACCTATAAAACAGAGTGATCGAAGCAAGACAGCGTTTACTGTACGTGATAAACAGTATCAATTTAAACGAATGCCGTTCGGGTTGGCGGGTGCACCGTTCACGTTCAGAAGATTAATGACACTACTGCTCAAGAATCTAGATAATGTCGAGGTATATGGCGACGATGTAGTTGTGTACAGTCAAACAGAAACAGATCACATCAAGCATGTGGAAGCGGTCTTAAAGCGAATTGACGAATTTGGACTTCGGATTAATAAGGACAAGTCGCAGATAGCGAGAAGTAGCGTCACATTGTTGGGACATAAAGTGGGAAATGGAGAAATAAAACCATTGCCGGAGAAAATTCTTACCATAAAAAATATTGCAGTACCTAATTCGAAAAGGAAGTTGAGACAGTTCCTGGGAAGAGCGGCGTTCTACAGTCGGTTTATCAAGAATTTCAACGAAATAGCAGCACCCTTATATAAGTTATTGAGCAGCACCAAGTTTACGTGGACTGAGACTGCCGAACAAACGTTCAACCGAATCAAAAACATGCTAGACGATCGCCAGATGACGCTCAGACTGCCTGAACCGGGAAGACTGTTTACAGTGGCCACAGACGCGAGTGATCATGGTATAGGTGCTGTGTTGAGTCAGGCTGATAGAGTGGTGGAATACGCGAGTCGCGTCCTCACACCTGCTGAACAGAAGTATTCAACCATCGAAAAGGAGTGTTTAGCGATCGTGTGGGCAGTGGAAAAATGGAGACCATACCTTTTAGGTAGACGATTTCACATTGAGACCGACCATAAACCCCTGCAGTGGTTGAAAACCGCAAGAGACCCCCGAGGGAAGTTGGCGCGATGGATGATACGCCTGCAAGAATACGATTTCAGCATCGGCCATGTTCCAGGAAAAGAAAACGTAGTGGCGGATTACTTGTCAAGACCAGACATGGAAGCCGACCTGCCATTAACAGCATACGCGGTGAATAGTTTAGAGGGAGACCCATTAGAACTCGTCCGGCAGCAGAAAGCTGACCCTAACCTTCGAGAGGTAATCAGAGTGATAAAAGAGGGAGCAGACGTAGATAAACGAACAATGGACAAGGAGGTAATAACGCTGCTTCGGCAAAAGGAACGACTGAGAGTGAACTCATATGGAGTGCTGACCTGGCAGGACGATGATGAGAATTGGGTGGCGGTGATCCCGAAAGACTGGCGGCGCAAAGTGATACACGAGTGTCACCAGGTAGCACATACAGGCATCGCAAGAACGACGGACTTACTACGACAAAGTGCATACTGGCCGAGCATGAGAGACGATGTGGCTGAATACGTGTTAACCTGCCAGCAGTGTCAGCTAATGAAAAGCGATCGATACACACAACCGCCATTACAGTCAATCCCAGTAACCGCAGTCGGTGATCTATGGTCGGTGGATGTGATGGGACCGTTTCCACAGACGGCGAGCGGTAACCAGTACCTGTTAGTGATGACGGAACATGCTACACGTTGGGTAGATGCCGTACCCATTGCAGACCAGCGGGCAAGGACAGTGACCGAGGTGGTAATTCGGCATATTGTAGCGTGTCACGGAATACCGAAGATGATATTAACTGACCAGGGTCCCTGTTTTGAAAGTGACGAGTTTAAAGCCCGTTTAAAGCAGTTTGGTATCAAGAGAATACGAACTACACCGTATCATCCTCAGACAAACGGGCTTACAGAGAGAAACAATCGGACGTTAAAGGAATGGTAAGCATCAAAAGGAGGAAATTGGGAGAAAGAGTTACCATTGATTTTGCTGGCACATCGTTCCTCCATACAAGGAACAACCAAGAAGTCACCTTTCTTGCTCATGTATGGCAGACAACCACGACTTCCACTGCATAATAAGACCTGGCCACAACAACAGAAGTGGACGACAACAAGGTTAAGAAAAGAGAGGAGAGAGGCAATAAGGAACGTGGAAAAGAAACAAATATCAGACACAAAGAAGGCAGAACAACAGAGGAGAACGTGGAAACCCTTTGCAGTGGGGGACCTAGTAAAGTGTAGAGAACGAAAAAGTAACATAGCAGGGGGAGCAGGGTCGGGGAAGCTGACCCCAAAATGGGAAGGACCGTATGTTATCACGGAGAGACGCGGCTCGGTCTACACGATCCGGAGAGAAGACAAACAGAAGCGCGTAAATGCTAGTCAACTACAGAGATGGTTTCAAGATCATCATGGGTGTGAATCACGAAAAGCACCAAAGAACACAGCGGTACGGAGATCAGAAAGACTACGACAGCAACTTGTTAAAAGGGGGGACGAGTGTGGTGCGTGCTACTTATATTGATATAAGTAGTATATAACGTGAGTCAAAAGAACGCAATGTCTGGCAGCAGAAGATGGAGAAGATCAAGAAAAGAAGAGCGAGAAAACAATGGACTTTGTAAGAAATCGCATGAACAATGAAATGCAAGACCATGGATGTGATAGAATGACATTTTGCAAATTAACGATTTACTATACGGTTTTTCTATTTTACCAAGTAATTCTGTAATTTGCCCTAAATACAATTTGGTTGTCCTCAACCGTGTTCTTCTTCACTACAATAGTTTCGAAAGTTTCTAATTCACAGTTGAATCGCCTCTCATAACAGTGGTTACTTACCTACCGAATGTTTTGTTGTCATGGGTCAATCTGATTATATTTGGACAAGATAGTGCCATTTCATTTTGTCAGTTGTTATACTAATGTCTTTTGGACAGATTATTCAATAAATACTTATTTGATGTTGTTATATCCGTACAAAGAATAAGGGAATGGTAACTACTAGGAATTATTTACAGGCTGTCATATATATATATATATATATATATATATATACTTTCTTTTATTTAAACATATAAACACTGGTACAAGGAGGCATTAAGTGGATATGTGCCACATAAAACATTCGATTTGTGTGAGGGCTGGGATACTGCCCGGGTGCCCAAACCGAAGCAGGTCGTTGTCTTAGGGGGTCACACTCAGAGCCTTCGATCTAAAGGTTCGATCCACAAGGCAGTGGAGCAACGTCAGGAGATGCAGTCTCAGGGTAGCCGGTGACCAACGATTGGTTCACACATCATGTCGTCCTTCAGGATACTGGAGCCCATGTTCACCATTGGTTTGGAATCAGGGTTTACCAACTCCCTTGAATAGTTCCTCCGTGTCCACCGACCGGTGGAATTGCCGGACATTCGCTTTTCGTCTTCTCAATTACATAAACAACATTAATGCTGCGAGAAGGCAGTGAGTAGGACTTCCCTGGCAATGGTTGTATGCACGTGACCATGTGAGAGCATTTCGAGAGGGAGAGCTGACTCTCCCCACTCTCGGCCGTACCAGAGCATTTGGAGGCATGTATATATTATTACTATTAAGTAACTATATTATATGTGTGTTCATATTCCTTTTATTATAAGCTTTTATTTGACTTATTGACTACGATTATACGAATAACTATCCTTAAGTTATTCCCAATTTATTGGTAACAGTTTATCACAATCACAGCCACTTTTTGACTTGATGTTGTATGACTGTTATTTTCTATTTTATGATACGATGCGCTCTGGTTTGTTTGTATATAAACCCAGTATGTCTGAAATATATGGTTCGTATCGCGGAGGCTGATATTGACCTTCTGGACTGAACCGGTGTTGTTAGGAGAGAAGCTACTATTTCAGAGGACCAATAAAAATTCTAGACTGCTCGTAAAGGTTGTTGTGTCATTAGCCTGGTCGTATAAGTCAGTGTCTGTAATTGGTGGTTGTATCACGTGATATAATTAATCGGGCATGATGAAATAGCAGATGTATTTGTCTCAAATAATTGTGTGATTTACGCGTTGTGCACTTTATGATTCAGTTCATCAAGTTTAGTAAAAAATCACATGATTCACACTACAGCACGGTTTATTTTAAATCTCGAAGATACTTGCAAATCCTGAAGTATTTCCTCACTGAACTACAACTACTTGGATTATGCAGACAATTTAAAATTTTTGAATATTCACCATATTTTAGCCAACAAATATCTATAAACGCCGCAACTATTTGCTGTCTGTTGATCTAATTTCTGACTAAATAATAATGTCTGCTAGTTGTTAATCGGATTTCCTTTCTCAGCCAGTTTTAAATACACATTTAATATGCATAAAATGTGATACAACTGGGCACAAAAACAAGGTAGCGCCACACAGCCTACGGAAATAACATTGTTAATAAAAAAAACAAAAGGCATTCAATTGAAGAGAACACAAAGGAGGAAGCTTTAATACATGGAAAAAATGACGCTACAGAAGATATCATTCAGTTAACAATATGACCGAAAAACATTTTCAGTCGAAGGAGTCCTTTTTATTTTCGTAAAAAATGTAAAGGAAAACTACAGCAGGATTCTCATTGTTTTCCACTTTGAGATATTTCTAATGGGTTCTCAAGCCATTGAGTTGCACCATCTCTAGAACCCTAACTCATAAGTCCTACGCAATCTTTCATACTCTATGTCATGGCTCTATGTCATAAACTGATCGCCTCCCATATTCTTCCATCCAATCCCAGTCAGCAATCCATGACGAGTCACTAAGTCCAACATTATAATTTCTAACATCATAGGTATCATTACCAAGGTTTGATTTGATAATTTCGAATAAATTGAGCATTGGGTAGACTGTTATAAATAAGTAAAATCTGTAGAAAAATCTAAATTTTCTACTCATTGGGATATTAAAAATATTTATTTATTCTAACATCATAGTTTACATTGGTAAACAATATATATTTCTCCTGGGCTCTTGATAGATGAGTCGTAAAAACTAGTCTGTACTTTAAGAAACTATATATATATATATATATATATATATATATATATATATATATATATATATATATATATGAATTCAAGAAGTAATCGTAATTACTTTTAATGGGTGAACTATACGATATTGTGCTGAGAATTCTATATTGTATCAAAATATAATATCGAATAAAGCCATTAATAATAATAACACCCGAAATTACATTTGTAAAACATTTTGTTTATCTATACAAATCAATGCTTCATATTACACGAAATGAACTCACTTCATCTGATCACGTTTAATGTTTATTCCTTTACAAAAGTTCACCAAAGGGAACTAACTAGATAAAATGAATTTTCTATGATTCTTATGTAATGACTTCACTGTATCCATGTCTGTTATTCATATACATATATTATTTTTTATTCTTAGCGTTTATGTCTGTTTCGTGTTTTTCCACAAATCGCTGAAGATTTTTCCAATCCACATATGGTACCATTTATTCTGCCAGCTGTTTTACAAATTTTGGATTTAGTTACACAAGACGAGTTTATTCAATATATGCTACCACGTCTTATTCCTGTAATGTCAATGAAAGAACCTATTCAAGTAAGTTTGTATTTCAACTGAATGTAAACTGAATCAGAAAGTGAAATGACGTTGAACAACAATAATCTCTTGATAAGTATAAGTAATCAGGAATTTTTAAACTTTACTATTCAGGTTCATGTGATTTGTTAAGGTGTACACCCTATTGCACTAATTATGTTACGATGAGATGAGAATTGTCTTTGATTCCCTATGTTTGACCATTGTATTATTACATTATAACATAAAATCAAGCAGAAGTATCTTACAGGAACCTTAGAACAGCAATGTTTTTATCTAAAGTCGAAAAATTATGCTTTAGAAAAAATGTATGGCAAATAGTTTGACTACTCATAAGTACTATAATGTGATATCATATTATATACATTGAAGGTATATTTGCGCAAAACAACTTTCTGTGTTAATAAAGAGGGGTTTTCTGTAGATTAAATTTACTTGTGCATGGTGTTCGTCACAGACTGATCCCATTTAGGGTATTTTTAAAAATCATAAAACACCAAACAGCCATTTCACCTCAAAACGGGATTCCTGAGGAGGGTGAACCCAGCCTTTAGCTCTCGACAAGTGCTTAACCATTGAAACTACTGGGTTTGGATCCAGTAGTACACATTTCTAAATTCAATATTACTCATTTTGAAAAATGATGATTTTTGCTTTAGTTTCCCGTAATTTTATTTATCTATTTGCTTATTATACGCTTTTTAACCGAGGCTAATTCATATTTCATATTTCTTCAAACGGCTATTAAGAGACTGATATTCAACTGATCTAAGTGACTTTCAAACCCAAATGCTTGTCTTTCTACTTTGTTTATTTCTTCCTCTCTTCCCCTTATGTTAAACTTCTTTTCTATTTCAGATTATCTTAATATTTTTACAAAATATACATATATTAAGTGAGAAATTCCCAATCAAAGAGTTTCGTAATTATGTTCTACCAATGTTACAGTTAGCTTTGGATATTGACAATAAGATGATACAGGTTAGTTCATCTTGTTTTATTCCTTTCTATATACTCATTTTATTATTATCATACATCTATAATCTATCAGGTAATATGAATCTTCTTCATACAGAATAAGCACCGACGATGTCAAGAATGATAATTTAAGCTTCATAATCAAACCTTTTTGAGTGAAAATTACGTTAATAACGTTTTAATTATTTTCCATCGGACCTATTAGAGCTGCATTAAACTATGCAAGTTTTTCGAAGATTTATTAATGAATGAATACTTCTGTAAGTTTTTTCTCTTCTTTCCAGTCTGGATCAAGGTTACAAACTCAACTATGAAAGGTTTTATTGGTTTTATTGTACCTGACAAGATTCACTACTTCTGTTTACTAATGTTAATATAATCAACAGTGGGATGTAAATAATGTATAGATTATTCTTCTATACCTAACACGGTTAATCAGTTTGTTCATCTCAATAGGATTGATTACGAATTATTTGATTAACTGATTCTTTCCAAGTATCATTTAACGGTCCAAACTCTAGACCCTGCTTTTCTGTGTTAAAAGCACTTTATTTCGGCTATTGAAACGTATCACTAGTATTATTTGGTTATTGAAGTTGAACATTTAAACTAGCTTTGCGACTTAGTAGCTGAATAGTATTTTGCTGTTCACAAGATCTTGGATCGAAAATGAGTACAGTCTTGAGTGAACTTGCGTGATGAAAGTCTCACAATTAAATGGAAGAACTGTTCAATATGCTTTAATCTTCAGTACATGGCTTTTTAAGATGAAAATGACCTCCAAAATCATACAAAAACTCCACCAAACTGAATCAAAATATATCTGCTTATACTAGTACGTTGTACGCCTATTAGTCTTGTGACGTTTGTTTAACCATGAACATGATTCACCTGACAAAAAATAACCATGATTGACCGTAAGAATACCTATTCCAACTGTTCCAGTACTCAGCTTTCCCTTACCCTAACAGCCAATCAGAAGTTATACACAGCATGCCGAAAAACCGATTATTATGACCCAAGCACTCATAGAGTTATATACATTCATTACATGAGCACAGCACACCAGAAATAAAAATTCATAGTTTATATACAACTAAGTCAAAAGTAACACAAAAATCAGCAGTAGTTCCGCAATTAATTAATAATAATTTTTGAATGTTATAACGTATATCATCTGTTAACTCATTAAATAAAAGCACACAAATAGGACAATATGGAAACACCTTGAATAAATTACTTAACAACTACATGGTAAAAATAGATGTAATAACTTACCCTATAGTAATTATATGAGTTCTATCTTCTCCAGTTACCCTTCTCCGTTCCAAAACCATCCTTTTTTCGAAGTATTGGCGGTAGTATCGTCCATGTGGGTTTATTCTTATTTGGTTCGGCTTCTTTAAACTCATAACTTCCTTAACGTGGTATCAACATTTTTTCGGGGTTTCTTGTCGGTTAACATATTCAAGGGATTAAGAGGTTTTTACTTCATTCTGCTACCAGCTTTTGTCTGGAAAGTTGAGGCACTACATCCATCAGTCAGTCAAACAGAACTTAGAACCTGGCTTATGCGTACATCGGTTCAAGTTGTCATAGCCCGTTAGCATAGCGAGGTCTAGTTGTCAGGATGAATCTTAGGGTAGTAGAGGTAGTTACGGTGATAATAGTAGTAAGGAATATCAGTGTCGAAGATACGATTCGAGGAGATCTAAATTAGTGAGATGATAAAAAAAATTATGAAGAATTTAGAAAATTGAAATATAGGGAGAGAAAAGGTGTTAATGCACCTGGATCATTGTAAACGATTTTGAGCCGTGTCATTCAAGTTTCCGACCATTGTTTACAATAATTCCGCATACCAAAACTCGTAAGTCTTCATGTGTTGACATGTCTGAGTTCAATAGTTAGTGTCTTGATGGACTAATACAGTCTTTTTGTTTGGCAACCCCTAGGTTTCTTCCAACGTACTCATGCTCTAAGCGACATCGCTGGTCGAAGTAGACGGTGGGTGAGAGTACGTGACACATGTATCAGTCACCTTAGTTGGTGAAAACTTAGCACTTAATCAACCAGTTTTTCATCTTTACCTATTATTCTAAGCCTGACATTAATACTGCTCACTCGTCGGTTCCAAGATACACAAGTAATCTTTCGAAGACACCTGTGATCGAATACTAGTAAACTGAGAATATCCTCTATTTTAAAGGGCATATTTCATACCCATAAATTAGAACGGAGTGGTCTGCTGCATAGCGTAGTAGTCGTTTAGTTGGTAGGTGGGTGCCTCGACTACGTTACAGACAACACAAATCCTCAAAGGCTAATCAGGCTTCCTGGATTCTTTCCGTGACTATATCACATGCCAACCTATCAATGCTGATGAAACTTCTGAGGTATGTAAAATGGCCGGTGTGCTCAAATACGCCGCTCCCGATCACTAGTTCAGGCGCTGGCGCAGACCTGTTCTGAAGCAACATCTAAAATCCTATCTAAAGAGGCCTATTGGCCTACTTGACACAGGTTCCGAACATTGCGAGCTCTAGCATGTAGTTTGGAGAGGTATCAAGGAACCAGGAATATTTAGTTAAATGATGACGGGTTTTGAACTACTTGTTTTGCGAACGTGTTTATAGAGAGTCAATAAATATTCATTTTGCGCCGGCCTTTTGTGTTTACCTTCCGTCCTGGGAACTGTAGTGGTTCCCATTACTAATTATAAACCCAATGTAAAAATGTCACACTGGGAATAAAATTAATGTTATGGAACGTTACACTGATTTAGAGAAAATGTGAACTTGTCTTCTTGTCCCGAATTATCACAAACCTCTCAACAGAGAAACAGGTAAGCCCAGTGGAGGCAACGTTTATATATATCTTTGAATCTTATCAATTCATTCGACTCTTAATTTGCTCGCTAACATTCGCATTTCTGTTCGAATTCCCTTTGTGTGCTTGTCACTTAGTGATCTACTCAGTTCCATAATAAACTGTAGTCAACGCTTCGTATTGTCTTCTGAGATGTATTCACCGTTGGGGGTTATTTAGTAACAGTTATCAGGATGAGTGATATACGAAGACTTAGGAATTATCTCGAAAATAGTCTACTACAACATGTTGGAAACGATTCTCAAGCAATACTAATCTTCAAATATTTGTATCCTAACCACTAGTATTTGTTTAATTATTAAGAACCTATTTTTGTATAGATGTTTTATCTGTTGTCTTGTCGTCATTATATTCTAGGAATTATGTCTTAAATCTTTACCAACTATTGGAAAAGCAATGGACTTGACTGTATTAAGAAATTCTCTCATTCCACGAATACAACGTTTATGTTTATCCACAGAATATTTATCTGTAAGTGTTTTAAAGATTTATTGTGATTTATTATCATTATCACCGTTAATATTAGCTAAATAACGAATAATTAAAGTACTTCAAGGATCATTGTGTAGTTTACATACTTTAATGTTTTGTGTGATCGACTTGTTACTAACCTATGCATATAGAATACATTGGATTATAATTGAAGCTAATTTATTATAAATGTCCTCAAATAATTTTTCTACTGTTTGTTGCGTTAATTTGATATACCACTATAATAATAATAATAGTAATAATAGTAATAAATAGTAATAATAATAGTAGTAGTAATAGTAATAATAAAAATAATGGACTTGACACACATGACATTGCTCACCACCCAGCGATCAATCAATTGTGATCACATCTCAGTCCTACAGAAGGTTGGTCGCGGCCCGGATAGGTCAGTGGTAACGTCTCTGACTGAAGCTGTGCGATGAAATTAGCCAGACAATAATTAGAGTAGTAGTAGCAGTGGTAACAGCAATATTAGTAGTAGAAAAGATTAGGCCTATACAATGTCATGATAAGTTTAAAACTTATGGTCCAAGGAAAAACAAAGAATGAATGCTTCTGCACCATGGAAATCGATTCTGAGTTATGTCACTCAGTGTCTCGAAACTTTAGGAACGAAGATTGTGTAGATCCCAATCTCAAGTGGCGCTATGTTTTGAGAGATTACAGGTTCACCTGATCTGAGAACGGAACGAAGACTCTTTGACACAATAACAGATAAACTAGCTATTCCATCGCGACCCAGCCCAGCTAGCTAGAAAGAGAAGTCCAAGTTCTCAAGAGGGAAATATATTCCAAAAGCAACCAGAAGCACGAAAGACAACAAGCACAGATCAAGCGTATATATACATCTAAATGTCCTTGGGAAGCGTTACAAAATAGCATAATAAAAGACAACGAACCGGTAGCGTTTAAGATCCTCCCAAATGGGAAATACGACATGAAGGTAAAAATTCAAATTTTTAAAATAGAATTACAAAAATAAGGCATTTACCAAGTGAGTTCTGGGGATCTGACATCCCCAACAAGTAGGCAGTCAACACCTACATATATGACTCAGTCCAATAGGTAATGAGTTCACGGACTGATACCCCTAGATTTCTTCTAACCTGCTCCTGCACCAGACCACATTGCATGCGGGATACACGGTGATAAGACGTACATAATACATACCCCAACAGCCTCAGTTGATGAAGACTCACCAATCGATTCACCATCTTTGCTCAGTATCCTGTGTCTAAACTCAACATGCTCACTCGGTGGTCCCAACATATGCGAGCTGTAATCCGAAGGGATCTGTAATCAAACATTAGTTACCTACGTATATCTTACACTTTTAAAGTGTACTATTCAAAGCCATTAAGCAGAACAGAACGAACTACTGCTCAGTATACACGTCCGTCTGTTGATAAACAGAAATCTCTCCTACTTCACAGGTGACAAGTTGGCATTGTTCGTATGCCGTCTAACTATGAAGCAGTCACTAACAATACTTACCAATTTGTTCTGAAAATACTAGTTAGGTCTTATGATGATTTTAGTTAATGAAGTCCTTGTAAATCGCTCTAATCGTCTCATGACGTGAAACTTACAAAATAAAAGCTGTAAAAGTCAGTGATTAGTTCCTAAGATAGTGTTAAAACCATATACAAAATAAACCTATCATCGTCTCAATTCACAATGTTTCATTTAACTGTCTCATTGATATGTAAAACTGACCAATGGCAAAGTTATTTGTTAACATGTAGCAACTAAATAACCTACCTAATAAGTTTTTTTCATTTGATATCAAACATTTGGACTATTATTTTGATTGGTCATTCAACTGCACTCTAGTGTTAAATACTCCACTTTATATGTAAACAATGGTGTGTATTTTCCATTATTTTATGTAATTTCACACACTACACACCTTTGGATATATAGATACGTATATTCTATGTAAAATATAAATCGCATGAACAAGTATTAGGTTCTGCTGAACTAGACAAAATTCACCAGATTCATATTAAAACATTATGTCACTCCTCTAATCGATTGTTGTAAGCCAGTAAAAAGTGTTACATTCGTTTTCTCTCTGACTATTCAGTTTCCTTAATGATATTACACTGCATCATATTGCATTTGCTGTTGAAATACAGTCACGATCACAGGTACGCCTTGCTGACAAGCGTCATTTAGCACGAAACCCAAGTCAAAGGTTTCATACCTACCATATTCAACTACCTAACTTCTCAAAAGAGTTTGGGTGATACTGAGTCACTTAGCCTGTCGACTACGTTGCAACTTAATCTATGGAATTCGATCAGCACTAAATGACTGGACAAGCATGACATTAGCCACTACTCAGTGATCAATCAGTTATATATAATGCATAATTTATCTTTTAAATCAAATGAATTTCAACTAGTGTGACTCACTAATTAAGTACAAATTCGTGTACGACACTTTGTTGTATATGAGATTATTAGGTACGCTGACCGAGTACAGTAGTCCAAACTAGTATAGTGAGATTTTAAGCTACAACCCCATTGGTTGCATACCCTGGTGTCTTAAATATTACTCTACGGATCTACAATCGAATAATCACGTGTCCTTTGTTTGGTTTTTCTGCTCTCTGATTGCGGCTTTTATTGTACTCCCACTTATCGATATCATAATTTTATTCCCTCCCCCTCCCCTATCTCTGCTACTTCTGTGATGAAGCTAACCACTGTTATCAATATATTGTAAGTTAATTAACGGATTAATTCTAAACCGATAACTACTGTCAATTTCTTTTCTATGAATTATTTTCTAATGAATCTATTACGTTAAAGCATTAGGTAGACTAGATATTATCATTCTGTATGTAGTTAAAAAGAACATTTATGTATTTCATGTCCCGCTTATTCATTTCTTCTATAATATTTATTAAACGTTAAAATATGTGGAAAGCAGAACCAAGGAAATTTTTTATGTATCCATATAGAGACTAGTTGATTAGTACCACTTTCCGTAATTATTCAACGTTCTCTGTAGTTTATTTCCTATATATGATAAGCTGTTATTGATCTAAATATTCAAACTCATTAAATTTTTGATATAGTACAATCCCCGCTTACTGTCATTGATAAGATATCGTTATACTTCAGATGTCTTTGACTTCACAGGTCACAGCTTTCCATCGAAATTTTAAGAACTGTATCCCAAAACTAGTCAATGATGAGTATATGGTTATTTTAATTATTATTGTTATTATCATTATCGAGGAGTAATTTTTGTACAAACATTCTTATGATTTGTATTTAATTTTCATGATGAACTGATGTTAACTAGAAAACCACTGGGAACTACGATGCCCTGAATATTTATTATGATCCAATCCTAAACCTTTTACGATTGTGAGCACCACGACCCCAGATGAGATGGGTTCCACATTTTAAATAGATACTCTAGCTAACGTTATTTGTTGGTTGAAATTTTCCGTAGATTGTTCTTTATTTGTTTAACCCATAAATCTAGGTCCTTATATATATCATCCACTTTCGTTTCATTGTAGACACGTATGAATTGTCTTCTCTGCATTGGAAAATTACTAGATCATTTAGACAAATGGATTGTAATGGATGATATTCTCCCATTTTTACAACAAATTAAATCACGTGAACCAACTGTTTTGATAGCTATACTGGGTAAGTTCACTATTTCTTTTAAAGCTAATAATTGTTCTTTTTAAACTATATTTATCGAATTATATATCTATTGCATTGTTCAGTGTATCAAACTCTCTTTTTCTGCAGAGTTTCATGCTGGTTGGTACTCATCTGTGTGAACTGGTGATTCCCATGGGATTCAGATGTTACTCCATCTGGTTCCTTATGAGCTTTATGGATCGTGACTGACTGGTCTTAAGTGTTAAAGGAATTCTATCTACTGAATTGTAATGCGGCCATCTCAGTAAATGACTTAAAATCGTGCGTCGGGTAGTCTTTACATTCTCTAAATGCAATACTCTTAAAATCTATTTGTACACCTACTAAAAGATGAGTGTACTGTTCAGAAGTTCCCTCTATATTACCTCGTGATCATTAAATATCTTTTAAGGTTTAGGAAAATCATAGGTTGTTAGTATTCGACTGTTGATGCCTTTAAAATGTCTCTAGCGTATGTTAGGCATAGAGAGTTCATCATTTGTGTGTGGGCTGTGATACTGCCCGGGTGCCCAAACCGAAGCAGGTGGTTATCTTAGGGGGCCACTCCCCGAGCCTTTGACCTATAGGTCTAACCCACAAGGCAGTGGAGCATCGTAAGGAGATGCAGTCTCATGGTAGCCGGTGACCAACGATTGGTTCATACGCCATTTGTTCCCGCAGGATACTGGAGCCCATGCCCACCATTGATTTGTGATCCGGTTAAAGCGCCGGACATTCGCTTTTCGTCCTCTCATTTTCGTAAACAACACCCCCGCCACGAGAAGGCAGTTAGTAGAACTTCCCTGGCGGAGGCTGTATACGCGTGGCCGTGTGAGAGTATTTCGAGAGGGAGGGAGGGTGGTCCCACCCCACTCTCGGCCGTACCAGTGCATTTGGTGGTCTGTCTCCGAAGGTTTGCTGACATTCAGTGGCAACACCATGTCAGTAATGCAGAGGTTCGGCATCGTGTGTTCGGGCACAGATATGATAATCCAATTGATGTTACCATCTTGAAACACCGACCTCGGTGGCTTGGACATGTTCTACGAATGTCGTCACAGAGAATTCCACGTCGTGCATTATTTGCCGACTCTGGGACTGGTTGGAAGAAGTGGAGAGGTGGTCAGTGCACGAAATGGCGTCGTGGTATGAAAGAAAGCTGCAAAGGACTGGCTTCTGTTGGTCCTTCACGACTCCCTGGTTGGGGTCTGAGAGATGGTGCAACACAGTGGCTAGAGACGTTATCAGATATGGCTCAGAATAGAAGCCAGTGGCGATCCTGCTGTAACCTTGTTTTACTTTCTTCATAAAAAGTGGTTGTATCTCTCTTAACTGAAAGATTTCTGATCGTACCTTTCCGTTCCCTCATCATTACTATTATTATTACTACACTAACTTACACCAATCTCTTCGCTATTGTTCTCTTTTTCTTACGCTCCTTACCTTTTTTTTCTCTTCGAATTCTCATTGTTTTGTGTGGCGCATATATATTGGCGCTCTCTTGTACCAAGATTTATGTGTTCAAATAAATAAATATATATTCTAGGTCAAAAAGTGAATCTCCCGGTAGAAGTTCAAGCCCTGAAAATTTAGATGAGGAAAGTGTCATCTCTTAAAGCACATCAACGACAAAGTTAAACAAGAATGGAGAAAGTGGACAGCCCTGACAAACACCACTTGAGGTAATCAATCCTGACGACAGTTCTCGATAAGCTCTCACTCAACAACTTGTGTTCGAGTAGAGAGCCTTAAACGAAGGATGTTACGTAAGGAAATTGGGCAAAGCTTGCGTAAGGACCGAGAAGCCTGGTGGTCGATGCGTTCTAATGAGCTGGAAGCAGCAGCTGCATCTGGTAACTACCGGAAGCTCTTCCAACTCATCCGAGCCACTGGCAGCAAGAAGTCTGGTGTGAGTGAAACAATCTGCGAGGATGATAGGATGCCAATCACTGACATCCATCGACGTCTTGGACGACGGGCAGAATTTTTCGAAGGGCAGTTCAACTGGCCTGCTGCTCCGGCAACATCGGTCAGATTGTCCTGCCCTCCATGGCCGGTGACGACTGATCCACCAAACGAGGAGGAAGTCCGCAAGGAACTCCAACTCTTGAAGCGTTACAATTTACCTGGCCCAGATGACTTACCTCCGGCTCTTTTTAAAGATGGTGGTGACTTTTTGACTAAGGAATTGACGACGTTGTTTACAAAGGTTTGGGAACTAGAGAGTGTACCAACGTCATGGAATGAGTCGATAGTTGTCCCTATCTTTAAAAAGGGTTCACGTCGTTCCTGTAACAACTATCGGGGGATAAGTCTACTTCCGATTGCGTCCAAGCTATTGGCTTCCGTCATACTTCGTAGGTTGTTCAAAACCCGAGAAGGATTGACTCGCGAGGAGCAGGCTGAGTCTCGTTCTGGTCGAGGATGTATTGATCATATCTTCACCCTCCGCCAAATGTTAGAACACCGCCATACTTTTCAAAGGCCAACAATCGTAGTGTTTCTTGACATCAGGGCTGCCTTCGATTCGTTGGATAGGACTGTTCTCTGGGATTGTCTATTGAAGAAGGGTGTGCCTGAGAAGTTTATTAACATCCTAAAAGCCCTGTATAAAAACACCTCAGGCAGAGTGAGGGCATACAACCACCTCTCTCCATTGTTCCATTCGAGCAGTGGGGTTAGGCAGGGTTGCCCAATCTCACCATTCCTCTTCAACTTTGCCATCGATGACATTCTGGAAACAGCTCTGATGAATGTAAGTAATGGTGGTGTGGATCTGTTGCCTGGAGAAAAACTTCTCGACCTTGAGTATGCGGACGATATTGTCTTACTGTGCGATAATGCCCAAGGCATGCAATCCGCACTTAATCAGTTGGCAATCAGTGTCCGTAGGTATGGTATGTGCTTTGCACCTTCGAAGTGCAAAGTACTTCTACAAGACTGGCAGGATTTCAATCCTGTACTCACCCTGGATGGTGAGCAGATAGACGTAGTCGAGAAGTTCGTGTATCTGGGTAGCTGCATAAGTGCTGGTGGGGGTGTGAGTGATGAGATCAATGCACGTATAGTGAAAGCCAGAGCGGCTTATGCCAATCCGGGCCATCTTTGTCGCCTTCGTGATGTCAGTCTGGCTGTAAAAGGTCGAATCTACAACGCGTCGGTGAGAGCAGTTTTGCTCTATGCTTGTGAAACCTGGTCTCTCCGAGTTGAGGATGTTAGACGACTCTCTGTGTTCGATCATCGCTGTCTCCGAAGGATTGCTGACAATCAGTGGCAACACCATGTCAGTAATGCAGAGGTTCGGCATCGTGTGTTCGGGCACAGATATGATAATGCAATTGATGTTACCATCTTGAAACACCGACCTCGGTGGCTTGGACATGTTCTACGAATGTCGTCACAGAGAATTCCACGTCGTGCATTATTTGCCGACTCTGGGACTGGTTGGAAGAAGTGGAGAGGTGGTCAGTGCACGAAATGGCGTCGTGGTATGAAAGAAAGCTGCAAAGGACTGGCTTCTGTTGGTCCTTCACGACTCCCTGGTTGGGGTCTGAGAGATGGTGCAACACAGTGGCTAGAGACGTTATCAGATATGGCTCAGAATAGAAGCCAGTGGCGATCCTGCTGTAATCTTCTTTTACTTTCTTCATAAAAAGTGGTTGTGTCTCCCTTACCTGAAAGATTTGTTCCGATTGTACCTTTGCGTTCCCTCATTACTACCACACTACCTTACACCAATTTCTTCGTTATTGTTCTCTTTTTTTTTCTATTTCTCTTCGAATTCTCATTGTTTTGTGTGGCGCATATATATTGGCGCTCTCTTGTACCAATATTTATGTGTTCAAATAAATAAATAAATAGCGTATGTTAGAATCAAGTAAGTAAAGCTAGGGCTAAGTAAATGGGATTAGTTAAATGTAGTAAACCAAATGAAGAAGCCTTTATCCTAGATCTACTGAGGTGATTTAAAGTTGTGAACCCACGTGCACTCCTTTATAGTAAAGAAACAGCTTGGAAAACTGTTTGTTTCAACCAAACCTAGACAGTAAATTTGTTCATGAAATCATGAATTGATGCTCTCAGTCATTTTGGAAAGTGAGATATTTCGTTTGGGTCCTCATAGTAATTTTATACAATAATTGGAGACTTTAGATCATATCTTTCTCATTCAATCACTCTGTAGCTTATTTGCATTAATACTTCATCATTGTCCAACTTACTTTACTTAGTAGACCTCCAAGTTTCAACCCCGTATAACTATCTTGACTTTCGTATTGAGGATTCTAGCTTTGATGTTGGCTGACAGTTGTTCTGAGTTCCACATGCTTTTCAATTGTAAGAGCTCTGTCCTTGCTTTGGCAATCCACGACTTTATATTTTCATCAAATCCTCCTTGTTCATCAATGATGCTGACCAGGCATATGAAAGTTTCCACATCTCATCTGGTGATTTGCGAAGTTCAAATCTTCCAGTTGATTCCGTGTTTTCCCACAAATGTCGAGGTCCTCATAATCCAGTCGACCACCAAAAGAAATAGGAAGGGGGAGAGTAAGCAGTCTTGCCTGACTCCAGTCCTCATTTTGAATGCATCTGTCGGCTGTCCTCTATGCACAACTTTGTACTGTAGTCCATCGTATGAATGGCATACGATGTTGACGATCTTCTCAGGCACTCCATAGTGTCGAAGAAGTTTCCATAATGTCCTGCTACCCACACTGTCAAACGCCTTCTCATAGTCGAGAAGGTTGATGTTTAGCGACGAATCACATTTTATTGACTGCACAATAATGATCCGTATTGTCGCGATTTTGTCTGTGCACGACAGATCCTTACGGAATCAGGTCTGTTGATCTCGAAGTTGGGCGTCTACTGAGTCTTTCATCCAGTTCAGCACCAATCTGTTGAAAACCTTTCCTGGTACTGACAGTATTGTGATACCTCTGTAGTTCTCAAATTTTCTCAGATTTTTTTCTTTGGTATCTTGATAAGGTATCCTTCTTTGCAGTCTGCCAGTGGCACTTGTTCCTCTTTCTAAATCTTTCTAAATAGAGTGCGAAGCACGTCTTCAGTTACTTCGACGTCTGACTTCAGCGCTTCAGCTGGTATGTTGTCAGCTCCTGCTGCTTTACCTGATGGCTATCCTGGTTTCTTCGATCATTGGTGGGGTGACATTTATAGGGACGTCTGTGTGTGCTACTTCGACGTGTGGTCGGTTCAGTGGAGCTGGTCTATTCGAGAGTTCCTCAAAGTGTTCTATCCACCTTTTCCCCTGTTCTTGAATCTCATTGATTGGCTTGCCTTCTCTGTCATTCACTGGTCTCTCTGGTTCATTATATTTCCGTTCCAGTTTCTTATTTGTGTCATATGGTTGTCTCATATTTCCTTCTCTTGAAGCTTTTCCTGCTGTCGCTGCTAGGTCTTGTCGGCTCTAATGCTATTCTTCACTATCTCGTTTGCTCCTTTATATTCAGCTTGTGCTCCGGCCCACACTGCTCTTGTTCGGCTGTTGTTAATTGCTATCTTCTTATTCTTCTTTTCTTGAATCTTGCCCAGGGTTTGGATAGAGATTCATTCTTTATGATGATGCTTCTTGCGACCCAACACTTTGTGACACGTTGCAATTTGCACACATGAATCATCAGACGAAAAAGAACCCTAAATAAGAAGTCATACTTTATTCATGATATGACGTGATGGAAAGTCAAAATTATATTGATCTACTCATTATGATTTTTATTCCACATTAGTTCCGTTTTAATTCAATGTATGGATTACTCAATGTAGTATTTGTTTTGTTTTTCCAGTATGACATTTTATTCGGTATATCATAACGATAGCTTAATCTAACATGAATTATACTCATCATATTATTTGTTATAACCCCAATTATTTATCATATATGTGATTTCATCCTAATTATTAATCAAAAATGGGTGTATGGATCAATATATAAATGAGTGTATTTTCGACTAGACTTGTCGTGGTTGTTCGTGTTTCCCTCTTCTAAACTTAGACTTCTCTCTCTAGTTAGCTGGACAGGGTCGCGCAGGAATATCTAGCTTATCTGTCATTGTTTCACAGAGTCTTCGTTCTGTTTTCATATTAAGTCATAAGTGACCGAATATAGAGCAAAAGGTGAATCGTTAATTAGCATTAATTAATGAATAGTAAAATATGTAGCAATAGTTAGTGGGTTTAGTGGAAACTTACAATCTAGTGTATATACAGATATAATTTAGTTACTTAAAAATTACAGAGTAAAAATGTAAATAATTACTCAACTTAAAACAGTTCCAAAAGTTACGGTTACTCCAATATTCGCTCCGTTCAAATACCAACCCCGATAAACATTGTTGATACATTAGGTCTCTTCCTACAATCATCACTTTATCTCGGTTTTATGCTAAATAATACTAGTGTACATAAATATTGAAACTTTGTTTGCTAACTACAGGTTTCTTTATGTTTGTCTCTTCCCCCACCCTATTATACAGGTATATATCGCTTAGCATTTAGTCATGAAAAACTTGGCATCAGTCGAGAAAAACTAGCTAATAAAGTATTGCCTTATCTTATCCCATTATCCATTGAAAGCAGTTTAAATTTAAAGCAATACAGCGCTTATGCATCATTAATACGTGATATGTGTTCATATTTGGAACGTGAACAATATGCTAAATTAGAGCAATTGCATGGTGCTGCAACTGATGAGGACAGGTAAGGAAAAAGAAGAATATATTTGGATTTTATCCGAATTTATGAATTGAAAGTAATTGTGACCATTAAACATTGATGTATCATTTACATAATTAGTTAAAAAACCAAGGCATACAAACTGCTTCTAGGACGAGCTCGTTAGAGCCTCTGAGTATCATTCGTATTTTAGCGTCATTTACACAACGTCAAACCCTTGTAATCAATCATTTTAATTTTAACCTGTTTTCTTCAACCTCATTGTTTTATGTTTGTTCAGTATTTTCGGTTTAATCAGTTATCAGAGCTCTTGAAAATATCGAAATTTTCACATTATTGAGTAATTTCTATAAGAGTATTCAGTGCATCATAGGTCTTAGTGATTATTCCATATAAATACTGGTAAATTTATATCTCTAACTGGTTAGGATCCTAGTTTTCTTACACATTCCTTCATCAATCACCAGAGATGCAGCAATCAAACTCCTGATTTATAATCTAGTTCAAGTATGTTATTTTCGTCCACCTGTAATGAGCGAGAACTCAGGTGGGGAAACCAATTTATTGTTGAATACAAAATTACAGATTGCCTTCGTAAAATATGAAAACCATACACTAAATACATTATTTGCACATTTTCTCTGAGTTTTCCTTTACATGCTTCATCATTCCTTCAATTCTGTTGTTATAACAGTTGCTCTCTGTTTGGATTCTTGTTCTCTTCAATTGGATCTTATCAATCTTCTGCTGACAGGCATTCCACTTCTGATTGGTGTCACATACTACTTATATCTGTCAACATAAGTAGCATACACTACAGCAGATAAACTATAATTAAAATTACTACGTTCTTCAAGCCTAATAGCATGATAGAAAAAGGCTTAATTAAGTATGAATAAATTATATATTGTTGATCAATGAAATAGGACATTGTTAATCATACTGTTACATAGTTGGAATAATTCTTTTTCTTGTTAGTTCACATCAGTTAGCTAAATCATTCGACCAATTTTCCATTCTAATGTACATCAACAGGTTGCAGCTTTTGCTCGATACTAATAATTTTTCAGTTAAAACTTGAGTACCTCCTAATAATTTTTCAGTTAAAACTTGAGTACCTCCTAATGATTTTTCTGTCCAAATGAATGTAAAGTATTTAAGGAAGAATGCAATTGCACATTTTAGTTAGTGTATTTCATATCACATTAACAGTGACTGTGTATTACTTTTCAGTTTATTTTAAAACTATAACTTTACGAGCAATAACCTAGACTATCGTACATTTGTTTCAGGCTCTATGTTGGTTCTAACTTTCTCTTACAATGAATATTCTCCTCTCTTCCATATTGACCATGTTTATACTTCTTTCTCCCCTACTTTATAGCATGATAAGAATTGGTAATATCGATGAAAGTGTCTGGGCCACATCCAATTCCTGTTCAGATTTGGTAAGTTCGTTCTATAGAATTTAAACTACAGTCAGTGTTTTGAGTCAAGTGTTTTTTGAATTTTAGTATTCTTCACGGACTACGGATCTCAAGTGTTCGCTAATAGATTCAGACTCTACATCAATATGTACTGATGACCTGATTCGAGTTCAAATCTGTTACGACTGGTATGCATAATGTTTGAAAGATCTTTTTATATGATCTCTACCTGTATGTGTAGTACTATACATGGTAGTGCTTTCAACTTTCATATGTAAAAATACGATGCCATTATTCCATTCATAATATAAATAAGCACATTTTACATTTCAGTTTATCAGTAACAATGTATGTGATTCATGTAGACTCGCTTTGTCTCCAAAACATGTGAACGGGACATTCGTATTTGCTTCATACTCATTAGGATCAGTATGCGGCTGCATTCTACGTACAGGTATATTGATATTGGACTGACTTTGAGTTGTTGAAACATAGTTTACTTTTTTGTATGTGACATGCACTTTGTCCGAATAAGCAAGATAAATATCATAAGATTCGCTGGGTATTTGTAGATGACTATAACGAATACTGGAATCTGATGATTGCTCATCAAACAATTTCCCAAAAACACGGTTTGATCATACGTAATATTTTTGGCAAGATGAAATTCACACAGTTTTTATCTTCATTTGACCTCATTTTCCTAAGGTAATCATGAACTTTTAAGCCAACGTCTAGTTCAGCAGCTTTCATCTTACATAAATCCTCATTTCTACCACCACATGCATCAAGCCTTACCCCGAATTTCGGACTGTTAGACTTGGGGAATAAATTCAAATTTTCCTACTGTGTGAACATCACTCCTGGGCATTCTGGTTTCAGGACTGCTTCACAAATACTTTTTATATCAAATCATTTGTTATAGCTTTGAGTGAAGATTCTCCGGGATATATATAAGGTATGAGATCACCCAATATCTACAATAACATCTGAAATGCTATTAAAATGTGACTCATTTAAAACATATTTCTCACACTAACTAGGAGTGAATGAATTGCGAGGATAAATAACATTTGATATGAGACCATCAAAACTATAATTAGATTTGAAACTATTGAGGATTTGTGTTTCATATTGACTAAGGTCTTCACTAGAAACAAGTACATTGTGAGAACAAGCAACATTTTTTATGATATCTCCAGAATTTGATTCATTTGAAATATTTTTCTCAAATTCATTAAGGACTTTATTAGAAACTAATGAGTGACTAGGATAGTCAGCACCTGATATGATACCATTAGAAATTTGATAAGAAATTGATTGACTCACAATGATTTTGAATTTCATTCGACGTAACTGGATAATTAGAATGAGATGAATCTGATAAAAGAACCTTTGAAAATTGCCTAGAGTTAACCTTATTAAAGGATTTGTTGACCTCTTCAATCACAAAACTATTCCTTATTGCAGCAGGAAATGTACCAGTTATCTCGGTAAAATATATCTACAGTTTTTAAGTCCAATTACAGATTTGATTATTTACGCATATGTTCCTTCAATGCACTGATGAGTATTAAATGAGATTTGATGAACACATCTTTACTAAACTGAAGCATTGATTGTACTTCTGCGACTGAAATTGACATGTTCTTATACCACTGACCGCATCGTTTGTTGTAACAGCGACTTGATAAATAAAAGCGGAAGTATATTTATAACTGAGGAAACAGGATTTGGTTTAAATTGAACTGAAATCTAAGTTACAATTGGAACCAGACAGTTATATTAAAAACTGAAACTTGTAAATTGACCCTGTCACAAACTTTTATAACTGATCGTCGTTAATTGTTGTCAGAATCGCTTATTATTTATACTTGGAAAAAAACGAGAAACCACTGCGATTCTCACAACACGAAGTAAGAACAAGAAGACTGGTACAAATGAAGATTTATTCGCTATAAAACACGATGACAACCCTAGTCGAAGATACACTCATTATTATATATTGGTTTGTACACCTATTTTGATTATTAATTAGAATAAAATCACATAAATGAAAAACAAATATCCAGAGCTATAACGAACGATGTCATGCTGAGCATAGTCCATGTTAATTAAATACAAGAATATTGTATCTTAAACAAACATTACACTCAAGTATATTAATGTTATACCGAATAAATTGTCAAACTGGAAAAAAAAACAAATACTACACAAAATAATTATCGAATTGAATTTAAAGAAAAAACGGAAATGTTGTACAAAAATCACAACGAGTAAAAGTATGAAAGTTTACCTTTTCAATCCTGTCATACAAAAACCCAGAACGTTTAAGTCTCACATTGAACATGATACTTTCTAACCATTAATTTAGAGTTCATTCATTGATTTCAATTTGTAATTTCAGCAGAAATTGAAGGATTGCAACAATTATCCCGTGTCATCTGTAATATTTGTATCTCGCATTCCCAATACTATTAAATTCCACTAGTAGTCACGACGACAGAACTCAAAAGAACTTTAGAGTATTAAAATAAAGAGAATTCAGCGAGAAAAAATTATCTTTTCGATGAAAACATTCACTTAATCTGTACATCCGTATTTATAGTTCGATAAAAACATGCCTATAGACAAATAGAAGAGATTTCTTCTTCGATGTACTCTCAATGTTCACTTTAGATTTAATAATAATTTCTATAGATAAACTGATGGAGTTACCATGAAGTCATCAATGGTCCCTCTCTTGACTAGTTATTTCATAGGTAATCTGGAAAATACGGTACTTCAACCAATAATTGAGAGATTTCATTGATAAGGGAGATACATAGATGACACTTTCATTATTTGTAAATAAAATATGGACCTCAACGAAACCTTGAATCAATTCAATAAATGTCATCACAAAATTGAATTTACATTGAAAGCATAGGCAAAAAATGAATTTCATCTCTTTGTTGTCCTGTTGTAACGAAAACCAGTTGGTTATTTGTAAAGACTTATCTATAAAAAGCCAACCTGGAATGGTCAGTATACGAATTTCCATATCTGAGTCCCATTGGGTATAAAGAGAAACTTAATTCACACTTTATCTTCGAGGACTAGAAGTATATGTTCTCATGACACAAGAGATGACGAACTACTTCAAATTCGACAGACACTCGTTAGAACTGGCTGTCCACTGAGATTCCTCTATGTGAACTTAACGCCAAGGCGTCCAGAAAGAGCACTAATAATTCAAAATAAAACTCTTAGTGAATATCGTATTTAGAGGAGATATGGTTGTTGAAATCCTAAATTAACGACTTCAAAATCCCGGAATAAAACCCATTCAGCTAAGCTTTGTATTGTGTTCTCATGCCGGCCCACCATTCACGATTGTGTTAAGGTTTAACCTCCGTTTTAAGCCACATCAATGTGCATCTATAAATTTACTTGCTCTTATGGGGCAGGTTACATTGGTCGCACAAAGCGATCACTTTTCAAACACGTTTCATAATATTACCCGAGATGGCTTTTAAAAGGGGAGTGCGAAGCTCAAAGCAGAAGCACCTGATCAACTCTGGGCATTTTGCTCCAAAAGAGTCGTCTTTTACAGTCACAAGAATTGGATCAAAAGGATATTGAACCAAAAAGTCATACACTGCTCGGGTGTTAGTGACCCACCAATTCAAGCTTAATCTTCGCGTAGAAAAGCGGTACGTCCCACCTCTGATCCTTCCTTGGTCCTAATTCCATTCTACAGTATGTTTTTTATCCTGTATTTTTTAAACTATAATCATTTATTATTTTCCTCGAACAATATTTCATGCTTACTATTCAATTGTTATTATGACCTATATGTTTCTCATTTTTCTTCCTATCGTTCAGGTGGACAGTTTTATCTAATATTTCTGATTTATAAACTATTTTCATCCCTCTATATCTTCTCTAACCCCTTGACCATTACACAACCTCCTTTTGATATCTTAAATCTTAAATCACCGTATGATGCAATCTCTTCGTTTTTCTTGTAGACTATATTTCTCAAACAACTATAAATGCAAATATAAAGCTTAATTAAATGATTTCATCGAAAAGAAAATTTCCACTGAGTTTTTTTCATGTTTACTTTATGAGAAAATGGGTAACTTTAGAGAATTTCCTATGATGGGTTAATCTTCAGTAGGGGTTAGTAATGCAAAAACTATTAAAATTACAAAGGATCATAGTGGTAAAATAAAAGTTATAATATTAGTTTACCAAATCTTTAGAAGATTTCTTATAAAGTCTACTAAGAAGTTAAGTGATCTGTCTGATTGTTTTACACAGAGTAGTTATTTGACATTCAATAGCTAGTGATTTATCCTCACTATATAATTCATAATTTATCGTCATTATTGTCAAGTTGATTGCTGCAATCAATTAGTTAAGTATATTTTGTTCATTCTGTTTGGAAAATAGTAAGTTGTCGGATTGTTTACATCAGTTGAATACTCACTAAGAATTGTGGGTTTTAATCTAAACAAAATGAAAGGGTAGGAATTACTGTTCTTCGTACTCTTAGACATCTATTTGTTCACTGGAAAGCTGTGGTCGGTGAGGAATCGTCAAGCGTATTGAAAGTGAGACAACTATAGCTATTGAATGATCACGTTGAATAATCACTCCACTATGCATACAATGAATTGAAGTTAGAACTGTTCACTACCAGATTCTTAATTGTATGGAAGAATTATGTTCAACTGAGTTTACGCGGTTTGCGATTCTCCTCGTTCTTTGTTCAATTTTTTATTTTGCCTCACCCCTCATCAATGTTAGACCATTCTTTGTTTATAAAACTAGCGAAGTTAACTACTATGCCTAGCAAAATTTGAATATAAACACAGAGGTTTTCTTCAGTTTGTGCGATTCGTGAATTCTAATATATTGAGACAGAATGAACCAAAATGGCTAATCCTACTAAAGATGAACTATATGGAAGTTGACCGAGAGGATTTTTCTAAAATTGAATTGTTTGACTGGGATTTTAAACCTTCATTCACTAACAAGACTTATTTTTTCATTTGCCTGAGCTGTTCAACAAACATTTTAGAATATTAGCACGCTACCTAATAGTCAGATCATTGGGTGAAAATTAAGATTTTTTGTGGCGCTAAAATTTCGATCTAAACTTTCTACTTTTGCTTTGTCTTGCTACTGTTTCCATGAAAACAACTTTGTTCTTGGACTACTGTAAGTAAGATCCTGATTAAAGTCATTTAGATGGATAATAATTTATGCATAGTCGATAATTACTAACACTTTGAAGCTAATTGTTAATTCGTCATTATTCTTAGTTCGATGTTATGGTTTACTGTTTGTATTTATTTATTTTGACTAGATGACTCGGATAATTTGCGCTTATTTGGATGATACTGATCAATACGTAAAACGTAGTCCTGTACCAACAGCTTTAACTGTAAATTCAAATAACAGTAACAATATATCGCCTAAATCATCTACAGGAACGACATCGTCAATTCAAGGAGTCAATGGTTCGATAACCAATGAAAGTACTAATCTAAGCTTAGAACAAAAACGTCAGTTAGCTGCTAAACAAGATCAAATTGAACGTTTATCGTCTAATTTAACATCAGCACCATCATTACTACAACCTGCTACTGGCGCTGGACCAATGAAGTTGATGACAACGACGACAATGAATAAACCAAAACCTATTGATATAACAAATACTTTAATGTCATATAATGTGAATGCAATCAATAGCACATCTGATATGATGAATAAATCTACTACACAATCAAATCGTATAGGTACAGGCATACCTTTAGCTTTAATCACACCACCAACTATTCAACACCAATCATATGAACAGAACGGTGTTTTCAATAACAATAGCAACTCTCTATATCATCATTCGAATAATAATGTTGAACAGTTACAATCAACTATTTTACCTAATTCAATTATTCCATTCACTAGTAGTAATAATTGTAACTCATTAAATGCTATACCACTTTATCCAGCAATGTCTAACGTGATGAGACATGTTCAACAACAAGCTGTTCCAAATGCAATTACATATCAATTATTCCCGACAACATCATCAATTACAATGCCAACAACAATGCTTAGTCAAAATATATCAAATTCTAATAGTCTAATAAAACCATTATCCAAACGTGACATAGATGATTTATTGAGCTGACAATGAATTCATTATTTTTACAAACGAATAAAACAAGAACACAAGGAATTATTAATTATTCTCTTTCATATATGTACATATTATCATGTAACTTTAAACAAATTCTTAGGTGTAGGTAGATAAGTACGCGGACCTAAATGTAATGGTCTATGTTGCATCAATACAACTGTTTCTACTCAGCATGTTATGTATAGGTAGATGATATAGGAAGCTATGATAGCTTCTTCATTACCATCACCTTCTCATTTCTATTGTGATATTCTTGTGACTGCCCATGTTCTGTTTGTATTTTTTATTAATATACTTACTCCCATCATTTTTTTCCTACCCCGTGTCTGTATTTGGTTTGTGTAAGTATGTGAAGTATTAATGTCTTTCAAATGTGGTTTTGTTTTGTTTTAATCTTCTTATGTGAAAAATGCAATACTTGATTTTTTCAAATAATTATTTGCACGGTGACCTAGTTTGTTTACTTTTTTTCAAGTAATATCTTACCTTGTCCTTTGATTCGAATTTGTTTTGATCAAATATCTGTTATCTTGTAGAGGTTAATTTCTCTATATATCTGACTCCAATAAACAGTATCCCGTTAACTGATTATTTAATCAGGCTAAATCTCCTTACTAAGAGAATGAATTGACTCGAGATTATTCAAAAGCCAGTACACCAGTTGTAAAAATTGTATGTTATTAATGATTAGTAAAACTCCACTAGCACAGGGAAGCGAGTGTGAGAGTGTTGAAAAACCCATATATATATTTATGAGTGTTAAATGTTTGCAAATAAATGACTGATTGTCTGTGTTTACAACCAATAAGAGAGTAGATAAAGACTGATGTCCAAACATGGACTCAATCTGAGTCACACATAATTTTACATAGTGAATTAAATATCTAAATTACACTGAGTAGACAATATTTCAATGGGCTTACTATAATCTCTTAAACAAATTATAAGATAGGATTTTGTAAAATACAACCCTAATAGGACAGAGCTTTCTTTCCTCGTTTATAAATATAAACATCGTGATGAATAAATAAGTATCGTTTGTCCGTAAAATAGGGAATCGAATTTATCTAAAAGAAACCTTGACAAAACTGGGTTACTAGACAGCTATTTTGTGATTATTCACGGACTCATTAGCAGTG